CCAGATTTAAAACTCAAGGCAGGTTCAGCTAGAAGGTGCTGCATGGAAGCGTTCAGAGAAGCCTAAGTCTAATCAGCTGTAGTTTCTGCAAAAGGAGATCAAAAGACAAAACAATGCTCTGCAAAGTGGGATTTGATATGGACCAAGGGGCACTTTTTCTTCTTCACAGGTGTATGTGCACTGTTTGGTGGCAGCATGCTCTCCTACCAACACACCACCTGGCAGCACCTGCAGAGGACGGTGTAGCCTGAGCAGAGAGAGGAAGGGTAGGTGTGCAGGAGAAAAAAAATATTACAATGCACCCTGACCTCATGTTTTTCAGGTACTAAGGAGCTCTGACTTTGGCATCTGAAATGCCTCAGACATGAACTGTGAACACTGTTGTTACCTTTAGTTCATACTTTAATACATGAGCTCACGGAGCCCCTGGTGGTCTAGTGGTTAAGGGCGCGGCGCTATCACCGCGGAGACCCGGGTTCGATTCCCGGTCAGGGCCACTCCCGGGCAGGTGGAGCTCGTTAGCCCTTAAAGGCAACCCACCTACGTCCTAAGGACCTCGCTGCCACCGTCCAAGCTCGCTTGGCCCCGGCAGATGAACCTTAGGATTAAAGGGTGGGCTCAGTTCCGCGCACACTGTGTCTCACCTAAAAAATCCAATGCGCAGGCTGGAAGGTGGAAAGACCTTCCCCGGATCTTCACTCGAGAAGACTGGCCATTATATATTTTACATGAGCTCACAACATGTATCACGTATGTATTCCTTAAAAACTACACAAATACACTGTGTATTATTCCCAGCCCTTCCAGGTCACCATTCAGCCAGTCTCCAGGGCTATGTACTTGCAGGACCAGTATGGATTGTTCCTCCAGATCTAAGATGACACATGGAAACTGAATTTGGTAAGAATACTAGGCCCTGTGTACTCACCTGGAGATGTTACCATGCTTTGTGACACAAGCGATGCATAGCCTGTCCTTCAAGACCTCAGAAATAAAAGATCTGGAAGAAGAACTAGGGAATGGGCATGGTTTGCAGTCTCCAGGTCTAAGTCTGAGCCTGTTAGAGAGGAAAGAAGGAGAGTTACCTGCCAAGCCAAACACAGGTGGTGTGGCTCTGGAGCAGCTGCCAAGCAGCAGAGCAGGGCATGTTGGAGTTGGGTCGCAGCAGGTACTTTTGGAGCCAGGTATTATTTCAATAGGTTCTCAACAGGACTGCCCCCAGTCTTCAAGAAAATGGATCCAAAATTTTAAAATCCAACACCAAGGCACAAGTCACTGCCATATTCCAAATTCTTTTGAACGGCCCAAATCCTCCAAATAGTTAGGGTTTACACTATAGCTTCATTTGCCCTCAGAGAACCAGAGCTGTTCAACTGTATGCTCTAGCACCACTCCTCACTTCAGTCTGTGTCCCTTCAACAGCACCTGAAGGCTCTGCTGTGCTGACTGCTTTCCAAACAGTGCCACTGGACACAGGAGCTACCTCTTCCAGGGACCACCTGACCTATCTTGCTTGGAGTGACAAGACCCAACTGTGGGACAGCACTGGAAAGTTCTAGGGTCTGCTAACAGAATCAGTAAATATTGTAACCTGCTACCTCTCTGAAGTGGCTACAGAAGAAAACTTATCAGAAAATGACCCAAGGCAGCAAAATAACACTTCTTGTTTCTTCCAGCTGTTGAAATGCGGACTTGCAGATCAATAATATTATTCCAGCCCTGATTACAGCTGCTTCTTGTAATATTTCATAAAGTGACTGCCAATCCTCACATCTGAATGTAAAGTGCAAATCTGAAAAGTCAAATAAAAAAACATCAGAGCAATGTAAGCACAGAACATCCTCTTTCTAATGTGCAACAGCAACCATCTGTTGTACCAACTCCGGCTTCAAAGAGCCAAGCAACCTGCTGCCAGGGCCTCTTCCACATGCAACAAAAACACAATATTTTTTTTTTTCATTAATGCAGATTTTTGTCTATATCATTACATTGACCTGAGAATCTTGTAAACCTGTTAGTTCCTCATTTTCCTCCCACCTGCCCCTGTATGGAAAAGGCTAACTCTACAATATGGGAGTAGACAGATGCTCTAATATGAGCAAAAAGGACAACTTACCTGGCATTTTGTTTTCTGTGCACACAGAAAGCCTTTCTTTTTCATCATTATTTTTCAGAGATCAAGTACAAACCTGACCCATGACCACCTGTAATCACTCTCAGGATGTGCCTACACTGTAACTGCAGGTGTGCCTGCAGCATGTGTAGCTGTTTAACAGCAGTGAAGAGGGGGCAAGTGCACTGATGCCAATGCCGGCTGATAGCACACACCTGTGCTGTCTCCAGTGGGTTTGCCCAGCTCCTGTGGCCACTGCCAAGAACTCAAGACCCCCCTGCAGCCGTCTGGGTGCTGCCTTCCTCTCCTGTACAAGCAGTGCACTCTGCTGTCCACAGCCAACACTGCAGAGCCCAGCACGTTACTGCTCCCAGCATTTGCCAGGAGAGCACATTCCCTATTTTTAATAACAGTAACAAACTCATCTGTTGAGGATAACCTTCTATTAATCTAAAATGCAGTCCTTCAGAAATCTGTAAACTGGGATGAAGGGAAAAATAATAATGACTAAGTGCTAGCTCTTCTTTTCTTGGCACTCTGGGACACTGCCTAGTTCCACACGTCTGGTGTGGCATCACTAACGTTCACCTGCTCTGCAGCCTTGCAGAGTAGATTCAGGTAAACTTGTCTGCAGCAAGTGGGATATTCCAGATCTTCCCCTTTTGCCCTGGAAAGCCAGGAAGAAGTCCAGCAGCATTCCATTCCCATTCATCACCCATCTGACAGATGAGGAGACCTTTCCCCTGCAGATAGGTTGAAAGAGAGATGGAGAAGGGGAGACAGACCTGCATTCCCATTTCAACAGGCAATTCAGATTTCCAGCTTTGCACAGACAAGCCAGAGCAATTCCACCTCCTTGGTCTCTTCCTCCTGCCTTGGTTGCTGATGTGGTAAATGATGTTTTTCACGCTAAATCACACAGTGTGTTAGAGTTAGGAATTCACTGTTTACCTTTGAGAGTGTCTTTCTCGAGCTGTGATCCAGCCACACTATTGTAGAAGTCTATTGCTCTGCAGCAAGGTTTTTCTGGGATTATTCCCTCCTCTCAGATGTTGCAGATAGAATTTCAGCACCCTACTCCTGTCCTAGATTGCAGTTTTCAGGCCTACGGGTTTAAAGATTTTCTTGGATTAACTTTCAGGAACCACTCTGCCCATACCACTGTAGTAGAACAAGCCTTCACTATTCAGACAATGTGGAGAAAATGAATTGGCAAAATACTTATTTAAAATGCACAGAAGCACACAAGAGTCCCCAGGCTGGGGAGTCCTCAGCCTGGAAAGCACTGATCAGCCTTTTCCATAGTAACAGGAGTTATCTGATGTCTGGGACAGAGCTGGACCAGATGTTTCTTGCCGGGAGACAAGGATATCCTTCAGGTCCATTTCATATGTTCATCATACAACACAAAGATGTGAATGATGAAAAATCTGATCATCATGAGCTATAGGAAGTGATGCTTTGGCCTGCATCCAATCTCTCCAGGCTCATAGACGAAAGGGATCCTATAGGGAAAATTTAGGAAAAAATCTTCAGAAACATCCTAGAGTTCTACTCAAATGATCACAATATGCTGCTAGGTGGGACTTCCACCTTGACCAAATCTCTTTTTTTTTTTTTTTGTTTTTTTAATAAAAAGCAGCCAGATTTTCCATTATCCATGAAAGCCACTGGCTGAGGTTGAATCTCTTTTATGGTCCAGCCCCTACCTTTATTGAAAGGATGAGGCAGATCCACAGTAATCTGCTAACATAAAAGAACATTGGATATTATCCTTCTATTAGCAAGGGTCAGTTTTGAACATTGTTTTCGCCTTTCTGAATCCTTCCCCTTCAGGCAGACAATAGAGAGCATGACTTGCATAGCTGAGTTTGACCCAATAGTATTCATTCCCCACAAAATTTAAATAGTGTACCTTTCACTCCTGTCACTTTTTACCAGGTCACCTACTGAACAGGGCAGTGCACAGGATAGACCTCAGTTGTCACAGTCAAAGTTTCAGGCTTTTAATGCCAACTTACCTCTGTTGTTCACTCAGAAGACAGGCATGTGGAAGAGGAACATATTCCGGCCACTTGGTGACCCAGTCCTTTGCCCTCAACACGCCACAGCTTTCCCTTTGGAAAGGCTCTCCTTGTGGCCCACGCCACATCTAACACTAAACCTGTATGAAACACTTCTCATGCCGCTCTGTGCCCTGCTAACCTGGGATTCTGTCAGCTTTTCCTCCCTTTCTGCAAAAGCAAGGGAAAAGGCCTTGAAACACTGCAAGCTGTGTGACAAGCAGTGTTTCATTAGGGCAAACAGTGTCCTAGGGAAAAGCACAGAGTGATGATGTTACTCTTTGCCTTGTCCTATAAGGCAGTGATGTTAATGTCACTCCATAATGTATTAAGCAAACAATGTATTTTTTGTAAGTTTAGAGGTAAAACACCAGGTGGGAACAGTTACTCATTGCCAAATTAGCCCCAGCTATGGGGAACAAAACAAACGGTGGGGCTGCCAGTGACGGCTGTGTGAAGGAAAGGGTCAAGGGCTCTGGGGGAGTAGGTTTTTAGGCAGGAAACCGTGGAAAGTAGAGATTTTTCATGTTTCATATCTGAAACATTTCTGGTCAGAGTAAAGAGAGTTAGTGTACATTCACAGTAACCACCTGCTTGAGATACTGGTGCAGCCCCTCGACTTTGACCAGCAAACGCTGCACAAGGGCGGTGGAGGGGACAGGACTGACTCCGGCGCTCCACAGGAGTGTGGAATTCTCAGGCAGAGACAACCCCTAAAGCCCTGTGTTGGTATAAACCCACAGCACCTCTGCATCATGAAACATCCAAAGCACACAACCCTATTCCTTTTACAGGCTGAGAGGTTGCACAAATTTCATAATACATTGCATAGAAAGAATTTTATTACTCTCCACTACATTTGTAAATCTTAAACTTTTACAGACATGACACTTTGCAGGACGAGGGGAGTTACTATATACATTCTTCTCTTCAAGTTTTAGGTTTTTTTAATATGAGTAATGATGGTTAATACCCTTTCAACAGGCCTGAGTGAAAGAAAACCACATACTACTATTTAATAATTTTAGGCTGAAAACCCAAACTAGTTTTGTGATATAAAGCCAGAGAACTAAGTGACTCGTGTGCATATGAAAGGGGAAAATGTGAAAACCCTACAGGCCAAAACTACTTTGAAAGAATTCCAAATTATGCTGAAATGCACGATGACAGTCTGTCCTTTCACAAGAGAGACAAGGAAATACTGTAAGATAGAATTGCTCCCAGTCCAGTGAAATATTTCTGTGCCAATGATTGCACAAGAAGTAATTAAGAAATATTCACAAAACACCACGAGCTGGAATATTATCTCTACCATCTTTGTTTTCTAAAATACTTATTCACTGTTTTGATTTTTATCTGTATCCTGTCATTTAAACAGTTCTGTGCAGAACCACATCTGTGATCTCTCACAGTAAAGCTTCATAGGTCATATTCAACTATTCTAATTTTCTTGGAATGGTCAGTCAAGAACATGTTTAGTTCCAGTTCCTCCATTCACCATCAACCAAGAGTTGCTATGAATTCTCACTTGTTAAGACTGAGGTGGCAAGAAGTGTACCAAGTCAGTAAATTATCCGTTTTTTTGGAGACAAAGCTCTAAGATACATGGTAGCAAGGCATGTGCTTAATATATTCAGAAAAGTCCAAAATTAAGACTTTGGGGAGGAGGGGGGGAATGGCCACTGCCTACTTTCCAAACTGTAAATGGTCACATCCTGCTGTCATGTGTTGTATTTATTTCACTTCAAATTGCTGCAGTCAATTGTCAGGAGCATGAGAGGTAAATGTAGCATTTTTCTCATCCCTGTGTTTCAAATTTTCTCATTGTAGCTGTTGCAGTGTCATTCCAAAGCTGAAAGTGATCTCGATGAGGCTGCTGTGAAGGACGTCCACAGGCTCCAGACTGACTCACCTAGACGGTCCCACCATCTTCAGTGATCCCTGTGCCTGTGCAGGCTCGGGATCATCCACAGAGGAATTAACCACAAGAAGCAGAAATGTCACTGGCATAATTTTATTTAAAAAAAAATCCTAACGCTCATGTGAGCAATCAAGAGAGTATTTCTTTTATTAGAACTTGTATTGCTATGAACATGCAAGAGTGTTTCTTGCTGATGATTTCAGTAATGGTCCCTCCTATCATGTGAGAAATGAGGTAGCCTGGGTATTGACAGCCAGTTTCATCAGACTGATTTAACACTGCATTTTTCAGGTAACTGATCTCTTCAATAAGAATGAGAAAGCCACAATTCTTCCTGTGAATATTTTCTAGGATAAGCTCTTTGCAGACAGTCATAAGATAAAAAATACATGTTCATTTTTATTCTCTCAATTATTAATCTGGCCAAAACTTTTACAATAGGATTACAAAAAATAGGTGTGCTCTGTTCCTACCTGTTTTAGGTAATGTAAAACTAAGTCCAGGAGTGAACGAATGAACAAAGGACTGAATTCTCCCACCACATTCCTTGATCAAGGTACAGATGGTGTCACCTAAAAGATCTCATTATTTCTGTTATATGTTTCTTAACAAAAACACTCTGAAATGAAGAAGAAATTCAGATACCATAGAGAATCTCAAGGACAACATCTTACAAAGAACAATTGCACTTTAGGCTTAAATAAAATTAACATTTCTATGTGGACAAACACTATCATTATTGCATTTCTTACAAGCTCCAATCATAAGTATTTAAATGTTTCGTGCAGTTTGATTTTTCCTCCCTATGAAAGACTATTTAAAACAATCTGTGAATGAATAAAGGAGTTTTAGTAAGAGAACTACAAGGCTTCATTTGCTGCTACTGAGCTTCCAACATCTTTACAAGGTATTTCTGTACAAAATCTGTACTCGTGCTTCAGAGATCCAACATTATACTTATCCTCAACACTACCCAAACACAGTTTATTTTGCAATTATATCCATTTTTACCTTATTTACCCAAGAATGAGGTTTCTTCAGTAGGTCATAACAGATGTAAACGATCTTGTGTTTCATCCATCAATGACAAAAATCACATGTTTAGCAAAACATTTTCACACCACTAGCTCTATTTTCAATACCCCCGCTTCTGTTTTTCTTCTTTATCAAGAATAGCCTGTTTTAGGCTCAATGCAGCATCTTCAAACTGGGGGTTTAACTCTAATACTTTCCTGAAATCTTGCATGGCCTCATCAAAGTCTCCTGTCCCAAAAAAAAAAAAAAAAAGGAAGAAAGAATTATCTTTCTGTAACTGCACAAACTCACAAACCACAACTGAAGAACACCTCCTAGCACTTTCACTAGCAAAAAATAACAGCTGGACTTATTGGACCCATTACATTTGGATTCTCCAGAGGCCCAAGTGGGAGTCAGTGGGTTTCAGAGCAAGAACCAGAGTGTGTATTTTGAACCTCAAACAGACTTGATGCTCAGTTCAGCCAGATTATTAATTTAGGAGAGGAGCCAAAAGGCCCATGCCAACAGCCAGGCTGTCTCACATCTGGCACACAAGTTCCCACATGGTGCCCGTGGTCTGGCTCCATTCTCCTAGTGCTCACTCAAGTCCCTCAACCTCTGTGTCTGGACTTTGCAACAACCAAGCTCCAACAAAGGGCACAGGAGTATGATTTCCTAATGGCATAGTCAAAACCTGGGCAAGACACTCCCCAGAGGTGTCTGGCAACCAACTGGAAGTTGAGAAGACTGTGCTCTCTGGAGCTACACCTGCTTGGAAGATGCTTTAATGGCAGTGCTTGGAACTGGCTTGTTTTATCCCAATGCAGACCTTTCCAGAACTGAAACCACACCTTTCCTCCTATTTTTGACTGAATACCATAATTTCCAATGACATAGCAGCACACCTAGAATCACAAAATATGCCCAGTTGGAAGAGACCCACAAGGATCCCAGAGTCCAACCCCTGGTCCTGCACAGGACTATGCCCAAGAGTCACTCCATGTTTCTGAGAGTATTCTCCACATGCTCCTTGAACTCTGACAGGCTTGGTGCTGTGACCATTGCAATGGGGAGCCTGTTCCAATGCCCAACCACCCTCTAGGTGAAGAACCTTTTTCTAATATCTAAACCAAACCTTCCCTGACATAACTTCAGGCCATTCCCTCGGGTTCTGTCACTGGTCACCACAGAGACGAGACCAGTTCTGTCCCTCCTCTTCCTCTAACGAGGCAGTTGCAGACTCCGAGGAGGTCTCTGCACACACGGGGCGGGCTCGCAGCCGAGCGTGCTGTCACTGCTGACCAAGCGTGCCCCGCCTGGCTCTGCTGTGACACAAAGCGTGTCCCCGCCTGGCTCTGCTGTGACACAAAGCGTGTCCCCGCCTGGCTCTGCTGTGACACCCGCCCTCGGCCCCCGTGCCAGGCAGGTGCTCCCGCCCGGGGCACGGCGGTCGCGCCCGGGCCGCCCTGCCCTGCCCTGCCCCGGGTCGTACCCAGCCGGTAGCGCACCAGCCCCCGGTTGTAGTAGGGCACCTCGAAGCCGGGCTGGCACTCGATGGCGGCCGTGTAATCCTGCAGGGCGGCGGCGAACTCCACGCGCAGGTACCGCACCTGCCCGCGGTCGTTGAGGGCCGTGGCGAGGTCGCGGCGGGCGCTGCGGGCACAGAGCGAGCGGCGTTACGGGGGGCCCGCCCGCCGACCCCGCCCCGGCCCCGGCCCCGGCCCCGGCCCCGGCCCTACCCCGCGGCGCTCAGGGCGATGAAGCGGCTGTAGAGCTCCTCGGCCGCCGAGAGCCGCCGCGCCGCCAGCTCGGCCCGCGCCGCCGACAGCAGCTCCGCCGCCTCCTGCGCCATCCCCGTGACGTGACGGAAGCGGAGCCGGCAGGGCGGGCGGAGGGCGCTGCCCCCGCTGGAGGACCGTGCTCGGCCCAGGGAGGGACGGTGCTCGCATTGAAGAGGAAGCTCAAATACCAGGGCGCACACACATACATACAAAACACAGTACTTCAGTGTTATCGATACAAAATGTATCCTGGACTGCATCGAAGAGCTGTGGCCAGCAGGTCCGGGGAGGTGATTCTGCCCCCTGTACTCCACTCTTGCCAGACCCCACCTGCAGGGCTGTGTCCAGCTCCGGGGCCCCCAGCAAAGGAAGGACGTGGATCTGGTGGAGAGGGTCCAGAGGAGGCCATAAAGACTCTTGGAGGGCTGGATCACTCTCCTCTGGAGACAGGCTGAGAGAGCTGGGGCTGTTCAGCCTCGAGAACAGAAGGCTCCAGGGAGACCTTATAGCACCTTCCAGAACCTAATGGGGCTACAAGAGAACCGGAGAGGGACTTTTACAAGCACACAGAGTGACAGGACAAAGCGGAATGGCTTTAATCTGAAGGAGGGTAGGTCTAGATTAGACATAAAGAAGAAACTGTTTACTGTGAGGGTGCTGAAGCACTGAACAGGTTTCTCAGAGAAGTTGTGGCTGCCCCATCACTGGAAGTGTTCAAGGCTTTGAGCAGCCTGCTGTAGTGGAAGGTGTCCCTGCCCATGACAAAGGGTTGGGAAGGAGATGATCTTTAAGGTCCCTTCCAACGCAAACTGTTCTACAGCTCTATGAAAATGGGGTTTATCCTTTCCTGGCCTAAGTTTAGGTGAGAGACATGACTTGCCCTGAAAGACAGTGCAGAAGAGTTGTCACACTCTCCTCTCAGAAATGTGCCGATGCACAGCGTGAATGTTGCAACTCATGGCTCTTGCCAGGCAGCCAAATGGTGGCTGGTCCTGGGGAAAGCTCACCCTGTGCAGCACTTCCAGAGCAGAGGCTCAAATCCAGCAGTAAGGTAGAAGAGTGCAGTTCTAAGTAAGACATCGCTCCTTAGACCTTTGTGTGCAACAAGGGTAACCGTTTAGGTCCTGAAATCTGTTCAACAGAAGTCAGCTGCTCTCTCAAGCTACTTGAAAAAAATTGCCAGATTCCAGTTTGAAGGTTCATGGAGGTTTCCTTTACTTGTTGAAGATCACATCAGCCAAGCTCAGGAAACTGATAGAGATGGACAGCACTGACTGCTGAGTGTTTTCAAGCCCTTTATTGCTATGGTGGGTTTAAATACACTTGGCAAAAGAAACCAGCACAAACATCTCTGTACTGGTATCATTGCTTTAGGAAAACGGTAGTACAAAAACATATACAATAATATTATCAGAACTATTGTGGCATTATTTCAACTCAGGAATTACTTCCTTCACAAAATTGTGAATTCTGAGACAACCCAGTAATTTCCTATGGAATTACGGAGACAAAAAAAATGGAGCCTGCTCAGAGTAAAAGATATTAATATGAACCTGCATTCAACTCACATGGTTTGAAAACTAGGCTCAACCTACAATTAGAAAAGAATGCTGTTACACTTTTAAAAAAAGATTTAAGGTAACAAAAATGGAGTCTATTAATGTGGATGTTTATTCACATAAATGGAACCCGTAGAGGTTTCTCTTGTGGGTTTTCTGTTTTATTTTTTTTTAGTGTTTCTCTATTAGCAGCACTATCTGCTACAATACAGTACCTGAGTTGTATTTTAAAATATAATACATTGGTAACATTTTAGAGGCTATTTTTAGGAGTCATAAATGAAGATATGTGGGCCTTTATACTCAGCTATACTGTGCTGTGGCACAGAGGACAGAACTTATAATTGTCTGCTTCACTGGCTTTCATACAATGCTTACATACAACGCACATCCAGAATCGATACTCCAGGATAGAGTCTCCTGTTGCAACACATACAGGAAGTTTCTCATCTCCACTATAAGAAAAAAAAAAAGAGAAGAAGAGTAAATAAAGCTGAAAGAATAAAAACATGGTGTGCCACCTGTTAATTGCAAGTTATTAAATCATGTAACACTTCACTGTTCACATAGCCAAATATGTAAATCTTCACACCAGAGAATGCCCACCCCTTGAACCATACAGTCAGCAAATCAGGACCAGCAGATCCAAAAGATGGAGTGAAAAGAAGTGGGAAAGGCCTTATAAAGATAAGGTCAGATTAGACACCTGCACTATTAATATGCTCCTTCCTCTGATGAGTCAACCTGACAGCTGCTAGTGAGATTCTGTACAGCTGCACAGTAGGGTCACACAAGACATGTTAAAATCCTATTTGCTAAAAGAAAATTGACTCACAGTCAATTTCCATACTCACAAATCCCATGATATTAGCAGGAAACATGTCAAAGACACTGTTGTGGGTATAGCCAGTCCAAGGACTTACCCCTTAAGTGTGCCCTTCTTACTCTGTTTTATTCACTTGACATATTCATCTTCTCACAGATTTAGGTAATTCACAAAACAGTGGAGACTCATTAGTCAATAACAGTTAAACATTCACTTGTGGATATTTGCATCACACCACAACGGTGATGCAAACAGTAACATTATTACTTAAATGTCATGTGATACAGTATCAAAGGTCCTGTGCTCTGTCCACCTGCATTTCAAATTAGGTGAAGTTACATCTTTATGCCCAGTTCCTGAACACAGTGCCTATTTTCCCAAACAACACAGTGCTGTATTACCCTTTCTGCAAACTGGCTGACAGCTGCATCATTCTTGCCCAATATTTGGTTTAAACAGCAAAGCATTTAATTAATTTGGTCACACACAAAACCTGCTAAAATCTAAAATATAGACCAACAGCAGAAAAAAAATTATATTATTACAGTGTCACATAAAAATAAACCCACCTCTCAAGAACATCATCCAGATCAGACTTTTTGTTACACTTTGGACTGTATCTTGTGAATATCTCTAGAGCAAGATCTTCATACTGTTGCCTCTGCTCTGGCCTAAGTGTTTCCAAGGATTCTAGTTTAACAAATGCTTTTGAGCAAGTATCAAATGCTCTGTTTGCACATGCACAGAGCGCCAAAAGGGAATAGATTTCAACTGCAGGGATAATGTCTTCATAATCTCTCAAATGAAGAGCTAAAAAGGAAGAAAAAAAGAAATCCAAGGAAATTATTACACATCTTCTGAGAACTGCAAGCATTCGTATGAAATATTTGCTACTAAGACATAGTATTAATCCTACAAATTGCACAAAGTGAAAGTCTTTTCACTGACATGACTATGAAACATTGCTTTTTAAAAATAAATAAAATTAAGGGGATTTGACTGAGAAACTGAAATGTCTCCTTGAAACACTTCATTTTGTTTGGTTGTTTTGTTTTAAAGATGTTAGAAGGATTTGAAATAGATCTTCATTACTTGGACAAAGTATAAAGCACTACTTGCTTCTCTTAACTGCCACAGATTTTTTATGAAGCTCTACTGGAAGGTCCAATGTGAATTCAGGTATGCCTTAGAATTTAAGGAAAGAAACAAAACAGTCAACAGAATAGCTACAGAAATTCACCAATTTAGCCAGGTAATATTTGAAAAGTTAGATTTGCATTGTCTTCAGGAAAGTCCTTTCCACCCACATTGACTGCAGCTACATTCAATTCATTTTATGGTTTTGGTTTAAATTCCATGCATCTATTAAGAACAGAAAAAAGCACCAACTATAAATGAAATGATGTGCTGTGCAGGTGCTGTGCAATTAGAACAGTTTCTTGAATTTCTTTACAGGGTTAAAAATGAAGTCCTACCTGTTTTGAGTGCTGCATCTACAGACCCTTTATAGAGCTGTTTTTGTGCAAGTATGAAAAAATGGTAAGCCTCAGCTCCTCGCCAAGCATTGTCTGCAAAGCGATTAGTTGAAGAAAGAACATCTTCTTCCAGCAAACCAGCCAAAGCTGAAGCACTCTGAAAACAAAGCAGTATCACAAGTAATTTTTATATGAAACAGATACAGCAGGAAATGGGGTACATGAAAAGAACTTTTCTATACTTGGTGATTACACCACTGTCTGTGTTAACTAGGGGAAATATAAATGGACCTAAAGTGAACATTGTCAGGCATTTTATACAGAGCACAGGCACAACATATGGTGCAGATTTTCAAAGATAAATATTGTATACGTGTGTACAAATATATTTTGTGCACATCTGCAGACTGGTTCATACTTTGGATTAATACTGCATTTCAACACCAGAGCTCTTAAAACTTTGTCTAAACGATTTCATTTGGGCATATGAAGATGAACATGTGAGCAGAAAAAAAAATGCTTCCATTCATCTCCCTCATATCTGGAGCCATCTCCCTGCTAAATTATAGGAAAGATAACTTAATCTAATCAGAGATCACTCTTTGGGATACATACTTACTCCTAAACGACATGGAAGTGACAGTCTTGCAGGAAAAAAAAAAGTCCGGAGTTTCTTAGTATGGTTTTCATTGTTACAGTGAAAATATTAAGAAAAATATATTAAACTTGGGAAGAAAAATATCTATGAATATATATGATTTAAATGTTTTAAAATAATACTTAAAACAATAGGTCTTCATGGAAGACTTGTTTTAAGGAAAGCTTTGTTCTAAGCAGGAAAAAGGGTTATTAGACAAACGTTACAGCCTCCCATGAAGTTATTTATGCTTTATTCTAGGTAGCACATACCAGAATTCAGAAAGGAAAAAAGACACTACCTCTGAACTTTTCTCTTTAACTTTTCCCCTTTGTGCATTTTGCATTTGTTCATGGCACTGTTCCATAAGTAAGGCTGATAACACATAAAGCTTTTTAACTCGCAAAGGTTTTGTCCTTTTCTTCGACTCTTCATCTGCAATCTTGAAAAAACAAAACAAAGGGATTTAAATCTCTTGGACAATTGCATGCTTGTTCAAACCTAGGAAATCATGCCAAAAAAATGATTCTGCCTTTAAATGTAATAATTTAGACTGCAAACATAACTATAAATGAAAATGTCAAAGTGAAGTATGCACATTATTCTATATTTATTTAGCTAACATGTATATAAAGCCAGATTCTCAGGAAGAATAAATCAGTGTAACCATGTATAAGTCTATTGACTTAGTATAAAAATAAACTAAAAAATAGCAATTTTTAAACACATACCTAGCTTTCAATAAGGTCTGGTGGTTTTCCCAGGAATGAAGAATGGCTTTTGAAAGTAACATATATATATATATACAGTGCTATAAATATTTGCTGTAAAAATTACACATCACTCTTACAGCCTTCAAGTTATGTACAGAAATCTCTGCAGCCAATCCAAATCTAAGCAACTTAAAGCCCACCACAGCCATTTCTAATTGAAGATACTAATAGAAGAAATAACAACATGTAATGTCTTAAAGTTATTGACATTGCTATTTGTTAAAAAAAGGAGATAAAACTAACTCACATGACACATAAAATAGTGTGGACATGGCAGCCCAGGCCAGTCTACCATACTTCTTTACTAGGCAATGCAGAGCAACAGGACCTTTTCTGAGGTGAAGTTCATCTCATACTGAAGTGAAAGTCTCAAAATAAAATAGATGATGTCCCAAAAGTATCGTCTCCATTGGCTACAGAGGACATCAAGGGTAACTACTACAGAGACACCTGAACTCTGGGAGTTGGATTCATCTTTGCAGTATCCTGTATAATGGCATCTGCTCATAGCACAGACATTGTTAAAACTAAAATAACCCCAAGAGAATAAAAGCAGCATGGAAGTAATAAGAGCTAGTGCAAAAAACCAGCTACTTGACACAAAAATAAAACCTGTGATACCTTGAACATGAGCTTAGCAGCTTCAAAGAAATAATTGGCTTTACGATACAGCTCTACAGCATCAAGGATTTTATTCTTTTCCAGCAAATGACTTGCATATCTGGCTAACAAGGATCCAATCTCTTTCATATTATGATTTTTAGCCAGCTCCACAGCTTTATTCCACTAGAAATGAAAGGAGACAATTATTAACCTAATTTTTTCACATACATTCTCAGAACAAGCCAGTTATCCATGAACAGACTGCTACATTTGTGTGCAATACTTCATCACCATTTAGAACCAGACTACTATAAAATTAACATAAAAAGCAAGAGAATACAAACGCTAACATCATTGCCAATCATGTGATGCAGCAGGCCTGTGAAACAAATGCTGGACTTCTGTCCAAAACCACATACAAAACAGTTGCTTCTGCTTTGGTAAAAGCTTTGCAAAATCACTTCAATGCAGCTCATGGCTGGACACATGGATTTCAACACTTCTGATATTACTAAAGCCAGACTCTCAAAAGTGTGCCTAAAAGAGGACTTCAGCCCAGAAGCTTAAAGCACACAGTAACACTTTACTTATCCTTCTATACACCTCATTTTGTCTGCGAATTTTCCTGATCTTCAACAGTTTGGCTACTGTGTTTGTCTCAGATTAAAAGTTTGGCAGGACTGAGAGTCTTAGCTGAATCTCACACCTAATAGGTCTTCAGATCCATAAACTAAGACATTGTTGATATAAAGCCAGCCCTAGCCAGTCCTGCCATTCCCATACATCAAGTTCCTCACAGCCATCCTCAGTTTTTCTTTTATTTGTGTCAACACAAACGTTTGCACAGCTAAGTCATACCAGGAAACAGCTCTAGATGTAAACATACAGATCAATTTTCAGATCAGCTTTTTCCAGCTACATCCTCACTCAGTCACAAATCCATTTGCATCTATACAAAGAAGGAAGGGGATGGGGAAAATATCCTGAACAGATAGCTATCTCTCCTCCAGCCTTCCTCCCATTCCATCAAGAGACAGTATGGCCCAGCTCCAGAGAGGCTACAAATGTCTGTATGCTGAGTATGCTGACCAGACACCCTGTATGTGCCTTTGCACTGTCCCTCCAATGACCTAATCTTAATTTCGGAGAACTGGCTTAACCCTGAAGTATAAGTCTTCCAGAAACTGTGACAAATCAGATACTTTACAAGGACTTGTGTTTAACTGGGCTCTAGGACAGGAATCTCACAGTTAAACTGGTACTGGTAAAGCAGATGATCTCCTGCTGTTTTACCTGGTTGAGGTGCACACAGGTATCCACTGCATCCTTTGGTTGATTACATTTCAGAAAGGCTGACACAGCTTGTTCACACATCCCCACTCGTACAAACATATAAGCTATATCCTGCAAAAATCATCAGCACCATGTTAAATTCACTTCCACATTTTTAGTACATTGTGTACTTATATTGTTTAATTTAATTCCAAGAGTCTGGGGAAGGGGTTGTTCACTTCATGGATCCTGTGAAGGCATCATGCACTGTGGCAAATATTTAGAACAGCGAGTGTGCTACTTTCACACACTCCTTCTAAATTGAAAAAAGCTATTTAAAAATGTTTCTTTCAAACCAAATCATACCAAAGGGACTGTATTCTTACTGTTTAAAGTATTTTATGAATCTTCGCCACTACAGTGAGGTTAAAAAAGACAGTGCTAGGTCTTGCTTTACTGAAAATGGCATTAAAAGGAGCATGTTTTGCATTTTTTAAGCATTTTGAATTAATCAACCATAGTACAGTTTTAAATGAGCTATTACATAGTAGGTCATATCCTGCTATACATACACAGCTATGCCCTATACACCTATATACCCTATACACCCTATCCCACCTACTTTTCCTCCTTTGAGAGTATCTTCGATTTTCATTGTACATTAGTATTCCCACCAGACTTATCATGTAAGAAGTTAAGGATAGCAACTAGGAAGGGTTTAGGGGAAAAAAAAACAACAGTGTAGATCAGATGACAAAATGAAAGCTAAAGTAAGTGTCCATCCATGGGTGACTTCTCAGTGAAGCACAGCTATTTCAGAGAAAAATGGCACAATCTGGGGAGAGAAACAGTAAATTATGACTTAGCCATGTGGCAGTAAAACATGATGAACAATTGGGCCTTTCTGGGGAACTGAGACAATAAGGGAAAGGAATAATAATGGAGTATGAAAACAACAGCAATATTGGAGAACAATACCACAGTAACACCGTTATGATTAAGTGAGTAGGTCATATGCTGCATTCCTTCTCTCTTCCATAACCCTCCCAAGACGAGAAATTTTAAGTAAACAGTTGGGTATAAATAAGACAATGAAAAATAAAGGTGCTTTTTGCTTACAGGAAGCAATTTATGATTCTCTGGAAGTGAGTTGGCCAGATTCTCCAGTCCTTGGTAGTCCTCTAGCATGTAGTAACATTCAGCTAAACGTTCCTGATTTCGTCCTTGCACGTAATACTGTACAGCATTTAACCTAATAGGACAAAAAAGATGTGGCAGCTTCTGATATATAAGCACAAGTGAAGTTTTTAATTCTGTAAGCCTTTTGTATTTTTAAATTTAAAATCACATTACTTTTAACATGTAGTTTTCCTTGGAAAAACTTTCGTAGCTAGAATTTCACTCTTTTTCTAAAAAGTACTACAAGTTTTAATTTTCAGAGATCATTATGTTCAAGTAGTCTCTGACTAGCGTAAGGTTAGGAAGTCAAGGAATCTTAAAGCTATAGATCATAGCACATAATGGACAACTTAAAACTAAACCTTCAGAAAGGGGCTTTAGTGTTGTGCATCTGTATTTTAAAATGCAAGCACTGAGACCTCCAAGACCATTCTCCAAAGTTACCTAAAACATCTAAAAATCAACTTTCAAAATCTAATTACAAGTTTTCAACTGCTTTGGTACACAAGTTCTTTGTGATGATACAATTTGGGTAATCACAATACACAGTGGAGCTGTGGAACTCTGAGACATAGAGTTAGAAGGCAACAAGAAAAGTGCATGAAAAAAATTATTGGCAAGTTATTAACTAAGAAGACATTACCTCTGGCTCACTAAGAACCTGACTGCAAAATGTGTTCTGCAGAAATATTATTACAGGTATGCACTGTCCTTAAAATCTTCATTGGTGCCCAGTTTGGGCAATATCTGGAGACAGATCCAGGCCATAAAGAACTCTAGACCTTTTCAAATATTTGTGGGTTGAAGTATTCTAAAAAATTCACTGATGTTTAATAATTCTCTCCTACCTTTATCGACTTTTTTTTCTTTAATACTTTCTATATCCAGCCTAATACAACTGTAGAGGTATATCTCTTTCTATCCCATCCTGTGAAACAGAGACTTCTGGCAAAACGCAGATTTTTATCACCTTCATTCTTTAGACAGCTGATCAACAGCTCTCTATTTATCTTATCATGGAACCATAAAGGTCTGAGCTAAATCTCATCATTCCAAAATTATCCCATGTACTGCATCCTGATGTCTGTCCCTCCTCATAAATTAAGTCTTGTCATCAGTTTAGTAATTTTCCTTTTAATTTCCTTCTTACTAATTCTTCTACAGAACATACCACTTCTGACGGTCTGCGAAGTAGTCTCCAATAGCATTGTGTGCCTGTTCCAGGAGGGCGTCATCCGAGTCCCCTGAGCCAGTTCTCAGTAGCTGCAATACCCGAAACCAATCTCCCAGTTTGATCCGCAGACCAATGGCAAGATCTCTGGTATAAACCGAAAATAGCAGGGAAAAGTCAAAGACAGTAAAACAGGTAACAAAAATCCTGAGAAAAGCATCCAAAAGTATTTTCGTGTTCTTAACCAGCATTGCAGGATCACAGTGACCCCAGAGATCTTATTTTGATTTTAAACACTATTCCATGAAAGCAAATACTCAGAGAGCTCACAGGTTATTTCAGACATATGCACCTCCTTATTAGCCACACTCCCGTGTGAGGAGTTAAATGAGCAGCTGGTGAGACACTTGGGCTGATGTTACTTCAGGTTCCCTCTTACTCTGTTCTGTATCTTTCATGCTGACAACCACAAGAGATGGCAGCAGCTGCAAAAGGCTAAAGGCAGGAGGAAGATGAGGGTAAAGGCCAAGGAGCGAGGAATATGAATAATGGAGGCTAAAGCTGACATGAAATAATGTGGATTTCAGAGACTTCTCTTTCAGATTCAGAGTGACTTTGGCTAAAGGAGAAAGGATTCAGATGTAGTTTTTTCCTTTTTATTATTTTTATTATTCATGCATACATATGACTCATTGTGTGCCTGCCTGGCATGTTTTTCCATCAAGTAGAATAATTCTATATTACTTCATATAAAAGTAATTCTGCAGGTGCACAGCAAATAAATGGGAGAGACCTATACATGTCTTGTAAAAATGCCCTCAGCTTACAAATGAAGGAAGGCAGTAGCAAGTCAGTGCAGTCAGCTACATAAGAGCATCTATCTAAAAACATCAAAATTGTATTTGAAAAATAGATTTATTTCATCCTGATTTATGGTAGATCTTTCTCAGGATTTTTCTAGTGGTGAGGAGACATGTAATGTCAATACTATGAGAATTCCCATATTCTCATAGCTGGAGAATAAGATGCTCTACTGTTGAAGAAACCAGTAAAAAAAAGTAAGTTTTTGACTTCTGCAATCCTATAATGTCCACATTTCTCTTCAGCCATGTGAAAAGGAATAAGCCACATTTAAAAATCAGTGTTGCAGAGTGACTGAAGTGCTCAGGAGGCAGTCCACCTCCCCAAAGCAACATACTGCCATCGAATAATTAACCACGGGCAAGAAAGTTTTCCATTACCAGGCTCTACTGGGCATCTCCTCCCAGCTCCTGCCTTCTCCCTCTGCCCCCCATCCTGTCCCCCTCACTGGGAAAGAGGAAGGTTTCTCATTCTTACAGCATGAAAGAATAACTAATGTTTTTCTCCATCATTCCCTACTGTTTTTCATGGCTCCATTAATCAAAGCTTAAAAATTTCACGTGTGCATAAGTGATTCATGTTTCTCCATGTTTGACCACCATCTACAGGCTACACTGCACAACTGCTGCTGCTGATTTATCATTACCCTTTTTCAGCAGAGACAGTGCTCTAGCTAATTGCTTAGTGTCAATTTATATTCCCAGCAATACTGTAATTTTGCTGTTTGTTTTCATTCCTGAGGAAAAATTCCATTGATTGGTCCACAGTTTCATCCAGAGTCCTTTCTGTCTCTCCAGAGATTACAGTTCATTAAAAACTCTGTTGTTTGTATATGTAATTGGGAAGAATGTGTACTTGGCTACTAGCTAAGACCAACAGCACATAAATTAAACATTAGTTAAGACTGTTTGTAGTTTTGGAATCCCAGCTGAAATACTGACAAAATACTTGTGAAAAAAAATCTATGAAACATAGCACTACCTAGAACAGCGGAGGTTTTGCAACCAGTTTGGAATGCGCTGATTTACATATAGAACTGGTTATGTATGGATACAAAAAAAAAATATCTCCACTTGATCCTGTAATGTCTTTGCAGAAACTGGTAAAGACTCTTCAGGGCTAAAACAGCCATTCCTGATTTAGGCATGTTTGGGGTTTTTTCAGACTTTTTTTCCTTATTTGCTGCTGAGATGATTCCATGCAATTACCTTCTGTCCATATCCAGATACATTCTTTCAGCTTCTTCAAATCTGCTAAAATAGGCTGCCACTTCTGCTTGCTTCATGGACTCGCTCTGCAGGTTGCCCAGACACTTCACAAATTTAATACCTTGATAATCTTTGCAACGCACAAAAGCTTGTTCAGCCATCTGCAGATCCAGCTTCTGAAGAGCAGCTTCAGCCAGGAGACGCCTGCATGAAAAACAAACACGACAGATGGAAAAGCAGCTAGACAGTAAATTAAATGAGGATCCATTTAACTACTAATTATTTAAAGAAGACATTTAAGTTATTGCAAAGTATTGTTTATTAGCTAATCCTAATACAGTTGTGTAACTGTTCCCAGTACATTCTGTGACATGTCCAGTACCTTCTCAGGGAAAGATGCATTGCTAATGTTCTTTTTTTCAGCTGTTTAAATGGACACCAGCTTGGGAGGAATGGGCAGGATTTGATTGTTACATTTGTCCTACATGAAATGGGTTGCTGGTCTCAACATAGTTCCATTTAGATAATTCTACCTATGCATTTGTCATTGCTTTAAACCTTGATGGCAGCCTCAGTCTAAAAGCCTCCAAGTACATTGGCCATGACAAATAAATTATCCTTCTGATCCATCTGGATGTTCCTTGTCCTGTTAGGATGGCAGTCTGGGAGAGCAGGGAACTTTGGGAAACCTTGTACTGGTACTGCCCCATTGGTTAGTTCTGCAAATAGTGAACTTCTACTTGCAGGCCAACCTACATCAATCAGGTGCTTGAGTGAGCCCTAGAATTCTCTGAAAAAATCAAGCTAGTTAAATTTAGCCTGGCTGACTGACACTGAAACAAAGTCAGCACAGGAGGGCACTGACAAAAACAATAATATTGCTGCTGTATTCAGTGACCTAAGCCGTGCTTAGGCAGTACCTACTCTGTATTTTTGAACCAATTTGACAAGGTTGGTATCAATTCAACTCAAGTGCTCATCACTGACATCATAGAAACCAAGAGAAGAACAGTATGGCAAATTTAATCCATCTGCTAAACACATCATCCTGTTTGCTGCATTCTAGAATTAAGGCACTGTCCTGTTCTGATCTGGAATATATTCACTTTATATCCAGTACTTCCAATCCATCTCTTCTTTATAAATATGTGACATGTGGTTTCTTGCATAATAAAAATAAAGTTCATGGCAATTTTGGAGCAAGATGAACACAATTTGATGTGTATTTTGTGATTTTACAGTATAAAACTTTTACTGAGACACAGATTTTCAAAACTAATAGCAAAAAGCATGGATGACTTCCAAGCTCCAAAAATCTTCAGCTAGCTCAAGAAATTAGTAAAAATGAAGATTCACAAAACTAACATTTTTCCCTACACACTCAAGCTAATAAAACTACAGTATTATTACAGAAACTTTCAATATGTAGCTAGCAAATCCTTTTTTTCAGAATGAACATTCTGGAGACAAAAACACAACTAGATAGGAAGAAATTCTTTGAGTGACAAATTTAAAGCACGCTGTCTTGGCCAGTCTTTCAGCAGCTTTAAATTTTCCTCTGAACTGACAAGAATTAACAGCCAAACATCCAATCAGTTTGCTTCAAAACAATGAAACAAAAATTATTAAAGACAGGTACGGACAAAGAAACAATCTCCACAGAGTTAAAGAGAATTTCTATTGTTCATCAAGAAACTTGTCAATGAAGTTTTAGGTTCTGCTACTCACTTTTCATTAAATTACCTACTAAGGCATTTACTCTTCCTTCCCTTATGGTTTGGGATATTAAAGAGATTTCCAGAACTCCTGTTTTCACATGTTTATTCTTATATGTTTGCTATGCAGGCTTTTCAACTTTAATAGCTAAATCCATGCTTAGTTTAAGCATCTCCAGCTCTGAGATTACATCTGAGATGCTGCAGCATAACACGATTAACATACCCAGCCCTTCTCACTTCTGTCCTTTATGGCCTGTCTAAAATGCTACAAGGTTAGTCAAACAACTCTTACCTTGTTATCATTCTGATGATTGTTAAAACCTTTACTGGGTTTTAAGCACTTTGTCATCAAGGTTCAGTAGCAAATATATAAATTTAATTTTTAATTAAACCAACTGTCAGTTACCTTTCTGCCAGCTTATTTATTTCCTTTAAATTTACCCCTAAAAGCAGGGAGCACTGCATTTGGGGGCTCATACAGCACAGAACCTGTACCCTACACCCACTGCCATGACACACACTACATGCCTGCCATTCCAGGTACTCCAACATTCATAAATTCTTAGTGCATACTGCTTAGCTGGTTTTAATTTGAGGTTTTGTAATTTCATACTAGATCTGTCTGAATAGTAAAAGAGTACAAAATAGCATAAATTTAAACCAAGTGGGCTTATAAGCGATTTTACCAAAGTCTGGGATGTGGATTGTCTTCTATGAATTGGGAAGATTCTTCAATGCCAACTTTTTCAATCAATGCTCGACTGTCTCGTAATGACCGGATCTCGAAATTGATGATGTAATCTTTGTTAGGGTGTTCAGGATTCTAACATAATGGATAAAGAAACATATTTTTATTCCATGTGACCTTTGTTTTCACCCAACATAGATATATACTCTTCAAATCATTAAGACAGACACCAACTTTTCCTACAAAATAAAATTAATTATACTTACCTTTAATATTTCATCCAGAAGAACAGATTTGATTTCTAAATCTTCAAAGTTGCAAATATATCCAGATGTTTGTATAGGTTCCTTAAAGTTAAATAAGTTACAAAGGAATGAACTTGTATTCTGTCTGATTAAATCCTAATCAAATCTGTTAAGTACACACATAAATACATTCATCTCCAAACTAGGATTTAATTTAATTTCCAACAAGAAACAAATACTAAAGTCATTAACATTACTGACAATTCTATAAACCCAGACATCATAAAAAACCCTCATGTTTTCCGTAATTAAATTATGAGAGAGACAAACACCTATTATTTAGGGTCAACTCAACTGTGTTTTACAAGTATCTCTACTAAAATTGCATTTGTCTCCCAAAGCATACAAAGACAATGTGCTCCTGAAAATATCTCACACATTTCATAAAAATAGGACAGCCTTTTTATGTTTCCAGGACTGATGGTTCATTTTACTTATTTGTTCCAAAACAACATTCCCACATGAAAGTTGGGAAGATTTTGAGACTTCCAGAAGCAAGTTTATATAAACACTTGTCTAACTGAATGGTAAGCACAAGAATACTGCTATTCAAGAAAGCACCATTAACTTGTGAGCAAACTCATAAAATGAACAGTTTACTCATGTTAACATTTACCTCTGGATCCAAGTTTCTGAAAACATACATTCTTGTTTTCTCCATCATTGCAAACAAATCTGGGTTATCTTTGGCCCATTTCATGTCCCAGACATCTTTGCGTTCCAGTTTCAGCTGCTCCCCTATCACCTGCTGTCCTGTGCTGTCTATTGCCCGCGCGTCCAGGTCAAAGAAGGTCAGAACACCAGAAAGGTCTATGATAGCGAGACGGCTACAGACAAACAAAGGAATAAAAATATAAGACAGCTAAAAAAATCCCACTATTCAAGGCTGGATATCTGAAATAGCTCTCAAAACTGGCACGGTATAATTCTATAGATTCCATGAGAGGCCATCATGTGCCAAAACCAGCACAGATGCATATGATTTTCATTTATCTGCACAGCGGAGTCCAGAGAGATGGAAACATCTGCTCACAGGATCTGGCCCTGCAAAGGCTCTGAAATATGCCCATTTTTTCATCCAGCATTTTGAAGACCCTTAGTACATCAGATATGAAGTTGAGTAAATCACAGGTTCTGCCCCTCGCCAAACTTTTCTTGACAAAGACTAAAATTAACAACTGAACAGAACTTATTTTCCTTATTTACTAGGAGGCAACGAAGCAGATTATTAAATTAAAAAGTCAGTGTGGTGATGTAAACTCTTAATTCCTAAAATAGGATTTCTTATATTTCTACAAAGGGTATTCTTTAGGTTTTTTCAAGGTAAAAAAAGTATAATCCAATTAATCTTTGAAGTAATTTAAAATATGGGAAAAATACAATTTCTAAAATGTTACATTTGAAAATTTCCAGTTACATAGGTCTTCAGGTAATCCTAGTAGCCTGTATTTACCACAAGGCTGTTTTAGAAGCATTTCTAAATACTGAATGGTAGACACCCTAAATCCCTACTAAAATTTCAGAAGCAATTTAGAAAATTAACTTTAAAATGCTTATGGATCTGAGCCTCTTTCCCTAGCACAAAGTCTTTTAGGAAAGAAATAGCTTTGGTTCAGAACAAAATGAATGTGGCTCTAACTCGATCACACTGCCTTTTGAGTGAAGCAATCTATTTTTGGGCTATACCTAAAGAAGCAAGAGATCTACACAAGCAATAGTAATTTTGTTTGAAATTATAAAGTTATTTTGAAGTGATTAAAATTGCCTTGCAAGTTCTCTTTAGGCAGTATATTTTTGCCTTTTCTGCCAAGACTCTTGTGTGCTTATTTGCATAAAAATAGCTGGGAACTAGAAAGCCAGTAGCCATTCAGTAGAATCCCGACTCATTAGAAGCATTGCCACCAGTTACAGCTTGTAACAGTAGAAAATTAATATGGGATGAACACACTTTCCAGACATTAGAAGGACAGGGACATATAAAGAAGTCTTGGAGATATAAAGTTTCAGGTTATAATATAATTTTGTCAACTCATTTCATGACCATAGGAAGGTTATGCTTGGTTCATCAAATAAAACAAAGATATTTTCATGCATACAGGATGTAAAGCATAGGAGAGCTTTACTAAGTCTCTCAGAGCAGTCTCTGATGACTGTCCATAATTAGTAATAAAGAAACGGTTAAGCAACCATTAATAACAAATAAAATTAATAGTTTATATTAAATTAAAATTAGTGCATAATTATTATAGAATCATATATTTCATAGAATTATTATTTTCACAAATTTTAGTGCTTTGTTTTGGAATTGGATAGCTGTGTTAGAAGCAGATCTGTAACTTACCTGGAGTTGCAGTTCAAAGACAGTTGATAAGCACGACAGTTCAGGATATAGGTCTGCACTACAGCCACACTAGGGAGACTGTATCTCTGAATAGTGCCGGACTCTCTTCCCTAGGGAAGAGTGATCCTGGCTTAGCAAGAGAATTTTTCCATCAGTAAACTCTTTTAAATGGTTTCATTTATATGCTGTCTTAGACAAAAGAGCTTTTGGATAAGTGACAGAGCGCAAGTGGAAAGGGGGAATATCATCACTCTAAAAGTTCTGATTTCTGCTATTTAAACAAGATGCTACAATTGACAGATTTGCTTAAATCAGTGCTGTTAAAACAAACAGCTCTAGTCCACATACAGCCCACAGAACAGACCCCGTGAACTTCCAGGCATGGTCTACATAACAAAAAAGAAGAACAATCAAAAGATCCTTGTCCCATGCTGGGACATTTAAAAGGAAAATGCTGTAAAATACACTGGTTATTCACAGGCTTGAGTAATAGGAAACAAATCTAAGTACTGATGTGGTTTATTTTTATTTTGCTGAATGACACACCCATTCCCTGTGTCAAGACTCTATCAGGCCAATAGTCTGAAAGGAATTTGACATCTCTGATGAAATGGTCACTGCCATTATTTTCTCATTGTGTTTCTGTAGACTGAGCAACACATCCAGCTTGGTTTACCTACCGTTTACCTGCTGTTCAACTCTTATGCTGCAAATGAGTCAATATTAAACTTTAAGGTAGTCCAAACTTCATTCCTTCTTTTTCTTTTTTCTGCCCCCAAAGCCACCCCTAAGATCCTCAGTGTAAATCACCATCTTTGATTTTTTCACATCTGTATGCACTATAAACTAAAAACCAGATTTGGTCAGAAGCATTAGAAAAATCCAACCACTGCAATATGCATTCACCTTCAGCACATTTATTCAGATTGGATTTCAAAGGCATTTCATCTCATTCTCTTCCTTTTAACCAAAGATGCTGATTAATTATTGTCTGTATTTCATTTTCTCATTCCTATTCTTCAAGTACAAACAGAATCCCATAGTTACCAACTAACCATCATACTTTTTTCATTCATGCTTTTTCTTGTGACTCGCTGATTTTGTAAAATCCAGCAAAGGATATAAAACAACAACAACAACAACAACTAACAGTTCAAGTAGAAACATGGGAAAACTCCAAGGTCTTTCTTGGTATGTGGATAACATGAGGAAACAGTGTTCTTTTTCTATCTTTGTTCTGCTCAGTTACTAATATGGACATAGCAAACTACCTTACATTATACCATTAATATGTAAATAGAGAAACTTTGTAAATCTTTGTGTCTAGAACACAGAGGCTAAAAGAGACTTCCCAGAACTCAGATTACAGAATTAAATCTTAACCTGGATTTTATCAAACCCTATGTATAAGTATCAACTCAGGTAACTAGTCTTAAATTGTGTCTCATAAATTAGCTCTCCTAAGGAAAGAACTCAGGTTAACAGAATAAAGTGTTAAAGTTATCTCTGGGGAAGTTTAGAAAGAGATTTTGTCTGTATAAGTTCTAAATTCAGAAATGCTTTGAAATTATGACTGCTTATGACATTCTGTAGAAGAATCTCATGCTTACAAGCACAAGGAGCAATCAGGAGTTGTTTTAATCATGTAACTTACCACAAGTAGTATCTTATCAGATGCTGTTATTGCACAAATTGGATCTCTTGTTCCCTGAAAGTATACAAGCGATATCAGTATCAGTTTTACTGCAAAGGTAAGAATACACTGTTAAAAAAAAAAAAAAAGAAAAAAGGGGTTTTTTAAATATAAACAAATGTTGCTAAGTATCCCCACGAAAAGGGGATATCAAACCTTGTGAGCATACAGTGTATGGATGGGTTTATGACATTACTAGCCTTTGTTATGGAATACTGACAATAATATTAACAGTTTCATTTCTTTTCCTCCTCCAGAAAAACAGGAAACAAAAAATATAACAGGTGTTCAACAGAAAAGACAGGAAGGCAACTATCTCTGACTTGTGCGCTCTCCAATTAATTTCAAGTATATTTGCAGGTACAGCCAGCACTCACACACCACATAAAGTGAAAATGACCAAAAATACTAGAAAAGATTACAAGGGTTATTAAGTTTCAACAACCCTGTATGTTGTTGAAGAAGAGCTTTTTCTGACCACGAAGACAGCATATAGATACTTCATCCCAGATTATACTTTTTCCACATTCCCTACAATTTGCTGTATATTTCCAGTAATACATAATGCCACAGTAACAGCACTAACCAGAGGGAAGAAACATAACGTGTGCAGAAAAGGTAAGAATGAAAAAAAGTTTAAGTACAACCACTTCTACTAATGAAAATCTATGAAAATAAATAAAGCTAGTGACTGCTCTTTCAAGCTACCAGTGACACCACAATAAACCAGTTAAAAACATCACTCACTTCAATAGCTCTGCTGTAATCAAGGCGCCCATCTCCAGATCCTGAAGAGGTGTCATCAATATGATAGATCCTGTAGAAAAAACAAGTCCAAACAGAGGAGTATTTTTGGTAGCACATAGCTATCTCTGATCCTTGGAGAAGAAACCATTGGAATTGGAGAAAAGAACAAAAGTTATGCCTGTTCTTATGTTCCCACAGTATGCCCATTGATAAACCTGCTTTCTATCGATATAAAGCTATGGTGATTGCTTTCACTTTCACAGCCCCTGATGGTCCATTCCCACGTGATCTGAGAATTTTCATTCTGCAGCAAACCATCAACCACCGTCAAACATGCACTTCCGTATTTCACCAGGCTCTCCTCTATACTTATGAAGAGCTTCACCCTTGATAGCCACAAAACTTATGTAATTCCTGTGCTATTCAATACTTCATCATAACTTCTCTATTGCCTTAAAAAGTAGCATTGGGAAAGATTTTAGAACGCTAAAATCATCATTAAGATAGAATTACAACTATTTACTTTTTTCACTATTTTACCAAACTTACAATCTTGTCCAAGGCTAGGACATTCAGGTCCTACAACAGTGTAAGTTATTACACCATGTACAAATAATTATCATTATTATAGATAGATAGTGACAGAAAATGTTAGATTTATAGGAAGATTTTACAGCATCTCTATGGAAGAACGCAAAAAGTAACACAAAAGGAAACCATAACAAAGTTGGAAGCTTGTGGAGGTGACAGAAAATTTAATGCTAGAAATGAGCACCTGGGAAGGAAATATTTTGGAGGAAGAATGATGTTGATTTTGGCTTGTTTAGTTTGAGAGGATAAAAGTCCATACAGGATTAGTTGTCAAAGCCACAATCAGACACAAGTGTATTTAGAGAAGAACCAGCTGGATAGACTATGTTCTTACAGGCACTGACACACGAAAAGCAGTTAAAGTTATCAGAAGGAATATAGCTGCCTGGAAACTAAGAGCATGGAGGAGAAACAGGGGAGGGGTAAAAAGGCATGAAGACATACAGCTCCTTAAGAGAAGCATGTAGAGAGCAAATGGAGACACAGAACAGGAGCTAATCCAAAAATGTCTAGGAGATTTGGATAACAAACACACATTTGCTATGAAAAACTAGTATTTAATCTTACAAGCCTACAAGTCAACAAATGTGATTAGGAAAATCAGAAGAGTTTATATTTTAGGCATGGGAGAGTCAACCTTTATCAATAACACCAGAGCAAAGGAAGAAAAATGACAAAGCGTGAAGACAAACCTTTCTCTGCCTTCTTTCCTGGTCCGTGCTACCTGATTGATTTCCATTGCTGTGAGCTTCTTGGCCACACGGTACTGCCAGATGTAAAATGCTCCTTTGGAAGCTGCTATCACATGTGTTTTGGTCATTGTGACAAACAATGGCTCTGCATGAAACCCGAAGGGTTGCAAATTTAGAGTGGCAAGCATTGGAGTAGATACCAAAAAACAACCCCCCCCCAACAAAAAAAAAAAAAAAAAGCTAGCAGCAGTTTTTGTTAACTGCTAAGAACTTTCACAGGGGCCTTGTGGCCTTGTCCAGAAGAACAGAGAAATTCTTTACAAGTTCTGATTTTACAATTAACACTTTTCTCCCTATTATTTCAGCAGATTTCCATGTGCTAATATCAAAAACATCAAACACATATAGATAAACTTTCAGGTTAATGACCAGTTCAGGAATACCTGGAAAGTCTTTAACAAGATCTGTAAAATATCTCCATATCTGACATATTTGTAATTATTCAAATATAAACAAAAGGAGTGTTACTCAAGAGTTGATAGTCTAGAAGGGATTCTTTGATCAGCACCACTTAAAAACAGTTTGTAAATTTTAAGTTAGACAAGACCTAGAAATGCTCTTTGTATCTTAGTTAATAGCTGGGCCAAGTATCAATTCTTTATCTGAATGGCAGTAAATTAAATATTTAGCAGAGCATATGCTTAGTCTTACTTTATTATATCCAAAGATTACACTGTAGGAATGCAGGGTACTTTTTACTTCAGCCCTAAGCCCACTTAATATGTGCATAAACTGTCTCATTCCTGCTGTCCATGTTCAGTGAACAAATATAAATACATATATATGCACACAAATCACTACAGTATTCTTTATCTGAATACACTGTCTTGACTGTATTGAGGCTCTTTTTTCCCTTTTACAATCCTTTGTTTCATCTTTCTGAAAACCAGTGAATGCACATAAGAGGGCACAGAAGAATGAAAAAACCTAGTAAGTAAATCCCCCAATGTCATCAAATTCTACAAGTAAATCATTATGCTACCAAAAAAACTCAGGCAAATTCAAAAGAATTGTATGGCCCAGCCTGGTGGGGAAACACAAAGCCATACAGAGCACAAAATACAATTCTTTTACTGTGGGTCTTATTTTCTGTATTTAGCACAGAACAGAACTCTGGAGGGAGCTATAAGCCTGTCATAAGGGAGAGCAGTGCTACAAGAGACAGATGGGGGAAGATTGGTTGAACAGATTTTATTTCTTTGAAACCAAGAGGATTATATAAGCTACCCGATGGCTGTAGAATACTTTTTAGTAAAAATGTAAATACTGGGTAAGAAGGCTTACTGCTGATGCTTAACATGTGAGCAGCACAGTTGTTTACATGATATGCAACTCAGTGTATTTCATGTACTTACAACACTTTCAGTAATTAGTCACATCCAAACTGAAGGATACAGTCTCCTGTTTATCAACAGTATTAATAAATTCTACGTATTTGCTCTGTTCTTTCATTAACTTGCAGCCATACATGCTGTAACAATCAAGCTTTTATCCTTCAAAAATGAAACATTGGAATCTTCTGAGCTGAGAGGGAATAAGGTTTGCTCAAATCACTAAATTTTTGTACTAAGCCTCATATTGGGACTTAGTCAACATTTAACCACTTGTAGTCCAAGACAATGCTAAATCAGGCCCACACCTGAAAGCCATGGGCATTCCTCACACTCACCAGGGGACCTGCCATTTGACCTGCAGCTTCCACGGAGCCTGAACTTACTCATTTGTGCACAGCTTAAAATACCTCAATCCAGGAGAAAAGGATATTCACATAAGGTCTGTTGTGATCCAGAAATAAGATGGCAAAGCATCCATGCTTTATCCAGGGGATGCAATCAGTTAGGCATTTTACAAACATGTCTAAGATTTAAACTGACTGTGACTGTCAAAAAACACACACACCCCAACCCCTGACACATTTCCCTGCCACTTCTTTTATATCAGCTGTAAGAGCAGCTTGACAACAGAGTAAGTTGGATCAGTTCATTCATCTAACTGACCTCAAAATTAAATAAATAAAAGATTAGTTTAAGTTGGATTAAAGAGAAAAATCACAAATTCTGGAGCAGGCAGGAATGAGCAGCCAGTATGGCGGGCAGGGCCCTCCCTTCTTTGCAACAGCAGGCTCAATGATGACTGGATTTAAGCCAAATGTGAAATCGCAGGGATACACAGCACACAACACAATCATCAGGATCAGATCCATTCAAAACCACATCTGGAAGAGCAGTATCTATATGTGGGAACTGATGGCTTTACAAAACTGCCTGTATAACTTAAACAATTGCTTAAGACACGTGATTTTTTTCTAGAATTGCTTTAGCATTTTATACTGGTCAGTCATTGAACAAGAAAACACAAAAAAATACAAACAGAAAAATCTGTTGAAAAAGACACTAAAACCCAAGTCTAGACTGGACACTAGGAAACACTTCTTTACAGAGAAGATAGTCACACATTGGAACAGGCTTCCTAGAGACGTGGTCAGTGCCCCAAGCCTGTCAGTGCTGAAGAGGCATTTGGACAATGCCCTTAGCAATATGCTTTTGGTCAGCCCTGGAGTGGTCCTGAAATGGATTGGTCACTGTCAGTCCCTTCCAGCCGAAAGTATTCTAGTCTGCCTTTTCACTAGAGAGCCTTCATCACTGGATTAACTCTGCTCCTAAAATGTTCTCCTTCTTGACTGCATAACAGCATAGATTCAACACAAGGGAAGGATGGTCCCAGCCAACTACAAGTTTAGGCTGTTGCTGGGGCAGAGAAGGAAGGAATGGGATTTCTCCTTTCCTAAGAAAGGAAAGATGCACATTTCAATTCCCTCAGGCTGAGGAAGATCTAGAACCCCTTTCAGAGCAGCTGGTTTAACTACTTAGTTTCCTTTACTGTAGAGAAGTATTATCATCTTATACAGTAGTGTTGGTTTTAGCAGCCAGTGCTGCTCACTTGAGCATCAGTGCCCTTCACAGAATCTGTGCTCTGACAGAAATGCAAGCACCTAAAGTATAAAGGAGGTAAGATATTTGGATACTCCTCTGCTTAGCACTTCCACTGCATAGCAGCTTTCCTTAACTTCTGAGAGAGTCTATCTCCTCCTGCTGATTTTGCAGATAGCCAGCTTCAGTACTAAGACAATACTTAATGTTCCGACCTTGAAAATATGTATGGAAAACATATTAACAGGTGCCTTACTTTTCAGTGATCAAATACTGAAAAGCACTAAACATACCATCCCCATCAAAACAACTCCAACGTGTGAAACAACTGCCCTGTAAGTTTTCTCTGGACCTTCTTTCTCTTCTCACCTCATTTCTCTTCACTGCTCCTTCATAAAACCTCCTCCCCGAAGGAAAAAAGCTTTACTTCTGAGATATCCAGGAATCAACTAACCTTCCGCAATGTCTGCATTTCATCCACACACACTCCATCTCACTTCAAAACTCTAAGAAAACACCTGCTTTCATGTCTGATCTTCTTATAAAAATAGTAAATGGAAAACAAACTTAATGCATGACTACATTACTTTGCCGCATGAAAAGGCTGAGATACTTTCTAGTATACAAAAACGGGATGCACAAACACAAGACAGGCAAGTCATCCCATCCAAATCTGATGGAAAGGAAGCAATCTGACAGACAGACACAATACTAAACTGTTGTTTTCATACAAGTCTGATACAGGCTGTTCCTGAGAAACTGGAATGAACTTAGTCTAATCAAGAAAATCTACCTAATTTTAGAGTTTGATTCAAATGTCTGTAGAAGTGTTGGCTCACAAATAGAAGAAAATGTCAGGCAACAGCTGGGACAACTGAACTGCATGTGGGACAACTCATGAACAAACACAGTTTACAGAACACAAATACTCAAAATCAGTTATAATTTACATTAAAGGGTTCAACTTTAAGTAACAGCAATTCACATCGGCTGTTTCACATGTAGCCCAGTCACCCTTTCCAGGAGGGAGGCAAGACACCTGGGCACAACTCCAGCTCTCTGCCTTTAATCCACCTGTATGTTGGTCAGGCTGTTGTATGAATTTCACTGGGTACTGAGGCACACTTGAAAGATAACACTTCCCTGTGTCAGTGCTCCTAAGCACATGTAAGAAGATGATATAATTCAGCCTGAGTGACCTTTTCTTAACAGATACCATCTGTTGTGTTTCCATTAAAAAAGATATTATACAACAAGATATTTAACCTTCTGTAGTTTATATTTAGTTATTCATCAAAGGACTTCAACAGAAAGCCTGTGAGCCTAGGAAACAAGCACAGAAGAAACTGTGTTGGTTAATTTTTGTGCCAGAGTAGGATGGAATGCAATAATGCTAGACAATGAAGAAAAGACTAATTTATGGGCTAGCAAACACAAGCTATTGTGAAGGACCTCAAACACAAGGCACAGGAAGCACAGGAAGAAAAATGCCTTTGGACAAAATAAAAAGCAATATGAGGAACAGCCTGAAAGTGTAACCATCCATCAATGTCTAAAGAAAGCTGAAGTGATGGCCCTTCATCAGATAATGACTGATTAATCAATTTTTGTCACTGTTAGCAGAAGCAAGCATTAGAAAGCTAATGACATAATTAAAAATTCAACAGAATATAGGAAATAAGCACTTCTTCTTTTGAGCCTTTCTTGAACTACTGGCATAGAGCCCAACAACCTAAGATTTGCATCTCCTGGGGGTGAATCAAACATTGCACAATGTCACAATTCATTAGGAGATTAATAGCACTTTGTTGGAACATTATAAAATGTTATAAATTGACAATTCGTACAAGTTGTGCCTTAACACACATTCTCAGATGCATTATTCAAAGATCCTGTCAGCTACTTAGCATCCCTAAATGAGCAATCTTTTTTCTCCACTATCAATTTCCTGCCAGGACAAAGCCCAGGAGCCTTTGTCCAAGAGCACAGCACCGAAGTCTCGAGGAGGAATAAACCCTTTATGCTCAGGAGAGCACCAGGTGACTGCTGTTCCAACAAGGGACAATCTGCTAATAACCAAAGATGGTGTGTGTCCAAACTGCAGTAATTACAGCCAGTCAAACAGAGTTTAGACTCATGGCAGGGAAGAGCAGCCACTCAACAACAGGAAGGAGCACACAGATACCAAGTGGTTTGTTAAGGACATCCTACAGCATGAGAAATAATTTTCCATAAGTGTTTATGAAAATCAAATAAAGTAACAACCTAAGTTGTATTTAAGCCACTCTGAAAGATGGCACTTAAAGTCTGAAACAAGAACAAGAGTTCAAAACAAAAGTTACCTAAGCAAATTATTTTATGGAATTTAATGCAGCAATTTATTGCTTTATTAAAAGAAAATTGAAAAAGTGTATTGGTAGAAAGGATATGAAAAAAGAGAATTTAACAAACAGATGATACATTTTTCATAAGTCAATAACACCCCTCCAATTGTCTTGAGTAACAGATATGTTAATTTTACTTTTGTGCTGCTTATATCTTAAACTATTAATGATTACTCTGACCTGAAAATTGATTTAATGCTGATTTTTCTCATTCATAAACAGGACAAAAGGTAATGATTTTGTTACAAATTATGTACCATGGAATCTTACATGAACTTTTGGAAAGGTCTTCTGTCCTTAAAGTTTTACAAGGTCTTCTCTCTCTATTGACCTCAGCAAGGCCAGACAGCTGCTTACGTTCAGCATGCTGTCAAAGGAACAATTACACATCCTACTGCCAAGAAGCTCCAACTGTGATAAACAGCATGATATACTGTACAATAAGACCTTGATTATGTACAGCTGTCAACCCCTCACACAAACTGACCTTATGTTATAAATATTTCAAATTGTTCTATAAAGTTGCATCTTCAGATGTTACAAAACAAAGGAAAGTAACTATGATGAAGCCAGCACAATGTGTTCAAAACTACTGCATTTAAAGGCATTTGCTCTTCACTTTTACCTTCAAGCTCTTCTGTAATTTTGGTGGGCAAGCTTTAAAGGAGTCTTGCAGGATGCATATATTAAAAAGAAAAGGTTGAATCTTTGGCTGTGTTTAATAAACAGCAACGAAAGACTTGCTTGTAATGCTTGAACTACTGAGGCTACAGAAAATTTTCAGGACTCAAAAAGGCAAATATTCCCAACCTCTGGTAATTTACCCATCTATGAGGTTGAAGGCTATAATGCCCAGTATTTTCCCAAGTGAACTCACACTAGAGAGGAGCATTGCACATCTATGCACTCAACTGGTCCTCAGACACTGGAGGGAACAGCAGGAGACTGCAGAAAGCTTAGTTATGCTAAAGGAAGAGAAGCATTTTCCAGATTGTTTAATCTCTTCAGGACAATTCAAATACAGTTGGAATAACAGCAGCATTTTTCAATTAAATAGCATTTCATTGTAACTGTTTTCAGTCACTGGAGAAGATTCTTTTACAGGCAGCTGTAGGAGATGGGTCATAGTAGAGGAATCATAAAGAAATGGATACCTTTGTTCATAATATAAATAAAACTATCACAGATAGATTCAGAGAGCTCACATAAAGACAACACTAGAAAAATGCCAAGCAAAAAGTTTACATGCAGACGTAGAGGTGTCCATGCAAAGCTAATTTTGACCATCTGAGTGGGATTCATCTCACCTAATTTTAAATATCTCTGACAGATGAGCTGTCTGCCCTGGGCTTCTTTGTACCCAATGGAGAGCAAAAAGACCCCTTTAGGAATGATTCACTGAACTTATTTTAGATGTCAGCTGTAAAAATGAGACAAACTACTCCCTCTAAGTCCCTGAATCCTCCTCCCACCACCCAATCCCACCTGCCCATTATGTTCTGGAAACTTGTGGACACATATAGGATGGGGGGACAGAACAGACACCCAACTCACACCGCTATTATCCACCACATCATCTTCAGTGCTTAGGTTTGGGTTTCTATTTTCAGCAGGAGGGATGTTTTTGGGGACTTTGGGTTGGTTTGTTGGGTTTTTTTCCCCTCCATCCATTATAAAAGTTTTGATATTGAATTTCCTGGACAGTTTATTCCTTAAGATTCTGATATGCCACCCCTGTTGTGAAAGGTGGCAAGAGGACATCAAACTGACACAAACAGAAATTACAAGAATAAAAACTTCCACAACGTTTCACATACATTCCATAGGACAAAGTAATGAAACTCATTTATCAGCACAGGATACTTTTCATTTTAATTATGATCTGCAATATAAGGCATGAATTTCACTATATATATATATATATGACTCACAGTTGATTACCTGCTGCTATCATGGAAAAAATGAACATTAGAAAATGACACATCCTTACAAATTTAGTTAATATATAACAAAGAATAAAACTTTAGAACCACTGGTTAAGGAAAATAATCATCTTTATGATCTCTACTATTTCTAGTCTTTGGTTGCTTTTTTTTCCTACCTATATTCTTCTGTGAATTGTTGTTACTTCCTTGTCTAATAATTCTTCACCTTACTTTGCTCAACATTTCTATCTTACTAAAACTTTGCTAGACACTTTTCCTATCTATTTTATCAGACAGAATGGCTGCTCATTGTTTAATATTAAAACCAAGTATTAGCAATATGGCTTGGAACTAACTCTCTGATGACCTTAATTTAAACAGAAGAGTTTCATTTTGCAGAAGAGATGAAACAATGGGTCTAGAAGGCAATCGATACCGAAAAAACTTTGAGGTTTCCTGTCATAATAGCTACATCCCTTTCTGGCACAGGCAAAGAAAAGATTTTGGTTCGGTTTTATTAAAAATTAAACCTAATTTCTGCAGAATCCAAGCACATAATTTCCAAAGCTATATGCACATATTAAGTAGACACCTTCATATTAATAAAGTGAGAGAGGAGCAATTCTTCCAGGTTTAAAATAAACAATTGTTTTATCCATAACCTGTTACAGTATGCCTATGCTCCTTTACTGTATCAGACATGTGGAGACTATTTTTTTCCCTAAGTATTTTAGTGTGCTCACAAAGTGCCACATGACTGATCACAGCAGAGGGTACAGTGTATCCCACCTTTCCAACATAAGGATCACATTTGATATCTACTGCCAAATACCTGTTCTACTTTTCATCACTTTGTTAAGAGGTTCAAAAACTAAAAATAAGTATATACTTTTCATTTAAATAACTAGACTCTCCTCTGCCATTCAATAGAAAATATTTTTGCTAAACCTTCATTACAAATTATTTAGCCTTTCAACAAAACAGAATGAAGCTTCAAAACAAAAACTGCAAAGGTGGTTCACAGTGTCTACTCTGAATCCAAATTCAGATCTATTTGGAAAATGAACCAAAAATAAAGCAAAACCCAGAAGAAACAAAAGTGGATTCATTAATCAAAAAGCTCATTAATTTGGTAGTTTGTCCACGTTTCCCTCATCTATTTAAAAGGGAAAAAAAAATCAGTGATCTTTATCCTCAAGCAAAATTCCCAGAAAACAGTGGTTTGCAATTACTTGGCAGTGTTCTGCACCACACCTGCAGCAAACAAGCAGTAGTGAAAGTTTGGAGTTCAGTCCTGGGATTTAGGGGTATTTTCATATTCCTGTTATAATCCACTGAGGGTTTTTTAAATTGAATTTTAATTTATAATATGAAACTATTTAGGTAAAACAATTGTGAGGAAGATAAGGAAGAGATATTATCAACACTGAAACACAATAATTTGGGAAGCAGCAACAAGCTATTTTTAAATCAAAGTCCAGATCAAATTATTTCACTTGCTCTGATAAACTAGACCCTCTTCAAAGTACCTTTTCCTAAAAAGGAGTTGAATTACACTGTTGTGAAAGAAAAATTGGAATCACCAGAAACATCCATTAAAAAAAAAAGGAAAAGTAACAATTTTTTAAGTGTAGCCAATTTTACAAGGAATATGACTAGTTTTATAAGCCACTGTTTTTATTAACAGAGTAATTAAGAGGTTATTTCCAACAAAAATTACAGTTCACAACATGGGAACTTCTGATTACGTGTTTATTTTACTTAGAGAGATTCCAACTAGAAGGGAGAAGCCAATATAAAATCATAGGTACAACTACATATAGAACAGAAGGTCACACCATTTGGATGCAAGGGGTGTTAACACACAGTGATTATATCATTGAAAAAGAGACTTGTACAAGAAATTAACTAAAAAGACTAGAAAAAAAGCCAACAGAATAAGACTATTGCCAGTTGCTTACCAATATCAATATATTTTGGGTCCAAGGGTGTGCCAATAGAATTGCAGAGAACCAGCACATACTGTATGGAAACAAAAGCAAGGGTCATTACTGCCATATTTTTTCTAAATTAGTAATCTGCACAAGGTTTTCTGTGAAGGTGCATCTCATAACCCACATGTCACACGGTTTAATGCTGATCAGCAACAGAAAACAGAGGGACCATGACTGCAGTAAATATAAAGCAGCATAAGCATGAGAGTAATGAGTTATTTGCCAATTAGCACTGTAAATGAAGAACAAGCACAAAACAGCTGTTTTAAGCAAAGGAGCAAATCTACCAGACAAAATACAACAGGTAGGATGTACCACCAGCACAGTCCACAGACAAGATATGGGCAAGAGAGCCAGTGTGTCACCTGCTGTGTGTGAGGCACTCACTGCACTGCCATTATCTACGAGCATGGTCCAACAGCGACTCTCATCAGCTGTCCATGCAAAACATAACCTAAAAACTCCCACAAGTTAGGAGGGCCTTTGTTCTATCCTTCACAGACCTCCATCTCCTTGAACCTCTAAGCAAGGAGTGTGGGGAGGTATGTGACAGTGTGGGGAGAATGTGACAAGGCTGTCCCTTTGCCCTGCAGTATCACAGGTGCTACAAAACTGGTGAGTTTTGTTAGTTTTGCCTTCCTTGTAATCCTGCTGGGGAAGGTTCTGATAGCACAGGAACCTCAGATTGGGCTGTTAAATTCAGGAAGGTACAAATAAATAAAAATTGACTAGACATCAATGCTTCATTGTTGTAGCAGATGTATTTACTTCTCCAGACCTAAATTAAGGATAAAATAGCCTAAAATAGTGATTGTATAGGAAAATGTCTTAAATGACAACTGTGGACATTAAGGAGCAATTTTTACTGTCAAATCTTTAGACTTAAAATAAAATAAAAATAAATAAAATATACTAGGCTACCAAAACTTGAATTACCTAAGAGCTGATACCCTGACTCTCCAGGAAATGAAAGATAATTAGTTTTTTATAGCTCTTTGACCTCCTGAACAATTCCTGTGATTGTGGTAGCAGACCAGAGCAACTGTGAAGCTTACCCCTCTAAAATGACAGACTGACAGCTTATTAATCACATGAGAACAGCTCAGTATAGCTTTTCAGCTGCTATATGAACTTTACTCTTTTGAAGAAAAAGATCTGAACAAGGATTTCTTTTCATGAAAAAAATTTATTTTTTCTGGTTCTGCCATCAATAAGCACCTCACAAAGATAGTATTTTTATTTCTTTGTTCATGAGTTAAACTTTACACCAGCATACTCAAATTTCTCTTTTCCTGAAAAAAATATGTTGAGCCTTCACCTCTGTAGGAAACCACACTGGGCTTTTTTATTTCCATCATGTTTATATTATACCCTCTTTAGTTATCTACAAGACTCCAGGTCAGTAGATCAGAGCCTGACAAGGGGTGATGGGAGTAACAGTATCCAAGACAGAGGCTGTACAACCTACACAGAGCAGTGCCAGGGGCAGGGAGTTAGCACTCTGATTTATCCAGCCTTACTATGGATATCAACATTAAGTTCTTCCTAACTTACTGACACTCACAATCCACTTGCAATACCTTTAAAAAGGGCCTGCTGAAATTAGGGTTATGGCCCCATCAACTATTGCTGCATATTCTGCCATTTTGAAATCACAATCCTAATGACCAAAATCTCTTGTAAAACAAATCCGTTTTTCAGAAAGCAACTCCAATGAACTGCTACCATTAAACTTGTGCACTTCACTTCCTAAAAGCTGGCCCCTCATGGTGTTAATAATTATACTGGAGCCATTTCAAGAAACTGAAAGATCCTTATTATCTGTAATTTTCAGATGCTAAAATTAAATCTCTTATTTATGCTCAAGAAAGTTACACTAAGTCCCTCCACTGTTTGTTTCCTATTTTTAAAATACAATCCAGAAAAAACTCATTATATTGCACTCAACTTCACCAAATGTTTTTTGCCATGTATATTTTCAGTCCATATGACAGTACACCATTTATTGCACAATCAAGCAAAGCAGCATTAAAGCATGATTGGTGTTTTTTTTACCATTGCACCAAATGACTCTGTCTCATTCTCCTCCTTTGTAAGCAATATACAAGTGACATAGAAAATAATTCAGAAGTAATTGCAGTAAGAAAAATCATTTAGCAGTTAGCATGACACTAAATGAACATTCATTAGCCAAAGGATACATTTATCATATCATTTGTCAGTACATATAAAATAAATTAATAAACAGAACAGTTTGTAGTAACATGTAATTTGTATCACCTAAGAAATTGCCCTTTTTTTCCATTTCTGACTGATGAAATATTCATGACCATTCCGATGCTCTCCTGCTTTTAGCTTGTCTCTGGAGAACTGTTCTAAATATTTGTGAAGAAACATTAATCTGGAAGTCTGCAGTTTTATTATGTTGCTAATGGCTACAAGGAGTTAAACTGTAGAGGCAGTTAATCAGTTACTTTGTTGTTTGTTGGGGTTCTTTGTTTTTAAACACTGAGCCCATTCAAGTGCCATTCTGTCAAATGACAACTGACAACTCTAAGACAGATTTAGACTTTTCCATTTCATCTTATTCTGGCTGTAAAGAACTGATATGTGGAACAGAGCATTTCAATTGAAAATTAAAAGACAGGCTTTACCTGAGGTTGATTTTCATCTGCTTTAGTCGCTAAAACACAGAAGTCTCCATAAGTTGTTATGGAAAGAAGGCTCTTGACATATTTTACATACTTCTCATTGTTTTTTGTGTCCCAAAAGACTACACAGCATTCCGGGCGATCAGGTCGGGTATAGGCATAAACAACTGTGTTGGAGCAGTAACCCCACTGCCAGGAAAGACAATTTGGATAAAACCTATCAGAAATTATGAGAGTTCAATAATAAATTGTTCACAGCTAAGACAGAAAGGGTTTATTTCATGTACATCAGCAGCATTCAATACTTTTTACCTGCCAGGTCAACACAGCTCCAGTAATAAGTTATTGGGATAATATTAAGCTGGCAGAAGAAGCCTCCCCATCACACTGAGTAACCTCAAAACTGGAGGATCAACGTCAAAACATGACAAGATCTCACTTCCCCGTGTTTCTTCCTTCAGCAGGTACACAGAAATACCCACTGTGATGCTAGTTTTGGCCATGAATGTGCTCGCTCTATGACTACTGATTTAGAAATCCAAAGTTCATTTCCCAAGGGAAACATAATAAACACCTCAAACAGTGCAATTCCTAAAGCAGACAAAACTAAGCAATTATATGAGAGCACTGTAATAACTCACATCACCTCTTTCCTATTAGTAACATGAGAAAAACCCTCCCTTTCGCCCAGAAAAATATAATTATCCATGTAACAAGTAGGAGAAAGGGCAAAAAGGCAAAAGAAATGGAATATACAAAGAAAGATGCATTTTATTGCCTTCAACTGATTTAAACTATAGAATTTTCTAATACAGCAGAATCAGAAAATATCTGAGAAAGGAGGTGAAGATGTCAAATAAACCAGATATAAAACAAACCACTTAAAGATGATTATGCTATTGTAGAAAAACTAATAGACTTCTCTGCATCAGCATCTATGAGAGACGGGAGGGGAGGAGAGGGAGAGGAGAAGGCTTGTTGGAGTGCTGGCCAGAGGGGTTCCCACACTCCACAGGAAATGAAACTGAGACAATAAACTAAAGCATCAGCAGAAGAACTTCTAGAACAGATCTCTAAACTGAATGGCAATAAATTGTCAGAGCCCAAAGGTTTTCAGTCAAGCAGAGTTGAATTCTATGGGAATCCAAACACAATGTTTTGGAATAGAGCCAGAGGAACAGGAGTGGGCAGATGCAGAAAGCCTTATGATTCTAGGAATCACAAATCAGTAAACTTAGCTTTCACACAAGGTAGAGATGTAAATAAGCAAGTGAATAATGGGATTAGGTGGACATGGATAAATATAACACACTGGACAGTCATCATGTTTTTAACTCCTTTACTATTATATTTCTGAGAAGCAACAGGTCTGTAAGTGAAAATTACCCAGCTGATACAACTCACTTGATCTTAACAGCTGGATATCAGTTGGATTTTTAATAAAATCAAGCTCATTTTGGATACAGGAAAAAAAAGTAAAAGGACTGGAGTAAAAGCAGTTTTTGATAACCAAACGCAATATGCACAGAGTCCTTCCCAGAGATGCAAACTGGAACTTATGCTATTTTGAACATGCTAAATGTATATGAAAGGAGTAAGTTATGAAGTAAAAAGTCAGTAAACTGTAAATCATGTTTGTCAAACATAAAACTGATTTCAAGAAGTGGCAAAGGACCCCAGAATGCTGAATAATGACATTTCTTCATGGTGGAATATAGATTTCTACAAGGTAATACACACCAGGAGAAATGTAACTACAATTATAGACTCTAAGTCATGGTATGTAAACCATGAATAGTTTAAAAAAAGATCAGCTCAATTCATAACTTTTACTGTCATAATAATTTAGAACCCCCTTTCTCTTATTACACTCGTGTAAAAGAAAAAAAATAAAAGAAACCAGAGTATTCAGTGGAGAGGTAATGTGATACCAGCACTTCATCTCCAGGTCATTAATTCCAATCCAGCCTAAATTAATAATAGCTTTGAATCACTCCCATTTAATGACTGCCACCTTTTAGAATATCCACTTCCTAAAGGGAGTTACTGATATGATCAGAACACAGCAGAAGTAATATGTATTATTTATTGAAGGAAAACATGTATCATTCATCAATAAAAATATTTAACATTGAAACTGAGTACACTACCAACACATTGAGAGTTTATTTGCTGCAGAAATAAAATAATTTGAACACATCTTTTTCCACTTCAAGTGAAAGGGGGTGAAAAAAGCTTACACATGCAGTTTCTAAAACTGCATGTTTCAAAATATTAATTTGCAAACTGTGCCAGATCCTGAAATACACATAGTCTTACAGATACTGATGAGTTTGAGAAGAAGCAACAGGCCTGTGTTCCAGCTGTTACATATTTCCCAAAATAAACATTAGGTAGCATTTCCTGCAAGACTAATTTCCAGCTCAAATTTCCAAAGTCTTTTCCAGCAGATTTACAACAAACTATCTGAGATTGTTTCCTAGAAGATTTGTGTTTATAACTCCCTGACCACTGGTTTTTCACAACCAAGTGGAACAATACATTTCAATATATCTGCAGTATGTTCCTCACATTGCATTCTCTCTCTTTAATCACAGTGGTTATACACTGATTATTAAAGAACATATGCTGTGCTGGGGGGGAAAAAAATACACAATATTGCATTCTGGAAAGTAATTGCTATTTTTTGTTAAACTGTAAATTTAAGTGAAATAGTCCTATCTCTTGGGAGGTAAAAAAACAAAACAAACAACCTACACAAATGAAAAAACCCAGCTGATAGTCAAGCTAAAAACATTATTTAGAATTAGCTGTGAATACACACTTCTAAAAAGTATACTGGGAATTGAAATATAAGTAGGAAGTAAGTCTATCAGGTTATATTCATTTTTACTGTCCATGTTTATACACAACTCTCCTGGTTCAAACTAATAATTCACCACCAGAAAAAATGACAGTAAAAGTATGGCTCAAATAATTCCCGTTGTGTTCCTTAGCCCACTTTGGTTGACTACACAGCAATGAAAACGCCGGAGCCTTACCTACATGACAGCCTCAACTACTACCAAGCTTAGAATTGTGCCCAATTCTGTTAGTATTAACAATGCATACATTTCCTCATTATGAAAATAAAATCAAAAATTCATTGTAAAAGCAATGACAAAGTCATTCCATCGGCAAGACAGACACTCAGACTCCACTAACACTTCAAGTCAGTAGTGTTAGTCAAGCAGTAATCATAAGTTAAGCACTGATAGACATATATTAGACCAAACTACTCTATCAACCTGTTCAGAAGGAAAAGAAATAACAGGAAACTTATTGATACAATTAAGCATCACGTTACTACATACCTTGTAGTGCGGACGGATGTTTGCAAAATATATGTAATAATCGACAGCCAGTGCAATTTTCAGTCCACCTCCCTCCCAAGACAAGGAGGATATTTGTTTGCCAGGAACCTTCAGTGTATGTAAATGCTTGGTTAAAACAAGGAAAGAAAAAGAATCTGAATTTATCGTGGGAAAACCTTTTTAAAATAGATAAACAACAGTTGTGATAGTGGATGAAAAAACCCACATCTTCTTAAACAAGACCTCATAATGACTCTCAAATTGCAACACATATGCAAACAATGAGGGAGATATTTAACATGCAATACCATAAAGTGTTCTTTTGCTTCAGGTTTGGTGTTTGGTTTTTTTTCGGAGAGAAAGAAAAAGCAGGACTCAATGACAGCTCAAGCTTACAAAGATAAAGAATAGATGGAGAATGGCAGTATAAACGTTCAGCTGGTAATTTGAATCACCTTTGTCATTTCAGTCACAACTAAAACAAACACAACAATAGTACCAATCCTGACATGCCTGAGAAGTTTCATTCATGCTGGAAGTGTATTAGTCAGTTGCTGCACAACACCCTAAACTACAGCTGATAGTTTAAGCAAATAAAAACATATTACTAATCTATGTCAAGAGCATATAATGAATTAGCTGCATGGCTACACAATTTGAAGTGAGGCAATGGATGTTTTCCTCTTTATTTCTTTTCAAAGAGTCTTAGAAAGGCAGTTATTACACATTCCATCTTTTTTTAAGATCTTTACTTTGTTGAAGAATGTGAAGTTGAATGAAGGAAGCAACTGGGAAAAAAATAATGTTTTCAAAAACAATAACCTTAGTCCCACAGAGCACTTCTTTGTGAGTATCTTTTGTTTGCAAATAATGTAGATGAATGTAATAAAGGATACACTAATCTACTGTTTACTGTAAGATTTTGAATAATCTTAGTCTTTAAATAAATATAAAATTTTACTGACTGGAATACTGACACATGTTCAAATTTAACTTTCCTTTTGAGGGCAAAACTTTGGGCCTATAGAAACTGCTATCAATGAACGTACACAGTTCAGTACCCATTTTGTGCCTCTGACCAGATGCAAATACCAAGTCAGAATACTGGTCACACATTATTCACAGAAAATACCATCTTCCAAAAAGTTAAGTTCATATCTAAGTATCAGAACTAGAACAAAACCATTCTAAAACCTAAAGAATTTACTTCTATACACTAAATACAAAATCTGGAACACCAGTTTCAGTTAATCTAAAGGATATGAGCAACTAGAGATGTAACATTATTGCCAAAATCTTTGGTTCCTTTAAATACTGTCAGCTAAGGAAACCCCTACAGATGATGTTGGATCTTAACCCCTTTCATAGCACAGCTCAGAGCTGGCCAATACTTCCTCTGTACAAGGGACAACCTTCCTCACACTCATAAATAACACCAACTTACTGATTTCCAGATATATTCCCAGGAGGGAATGGGAAATTACCCGAAATTACCCGGTAAGGCAAAAATAGCACCATAAAAAAAATATATTGGAAAATTGTCTCTCAACTATCGAACATTTAACATACTATAAAAAAGACAGGATGTACAAAAAACACTTACAAAACAATATCCCTAACAGCCAAATGAAGAAGATTAGAAACAGTTTAACTTTTGTGAGGTTTCTGAGCCATTGCTTTTACTGACACCGGATGCCATTTCTCAAATAGAGGGGATCTTCCACTGCCATGTTTTAACCCCCTAACCTAGAGATGTCCAGGTCTTGTACACAGCCAGTGTAAAAAGGCAAGTACCTCTAGATTTGATACACAGATGTTGATATCTTGACTGCTGCCTCAGCTCCAAATCACTTACTGTCTACAGTCTGAGCTCTGGTATCTGACTCAGGTGTTCCAAGTCAGACACTGCACATATCCCATCATTTAGTGTTTTACAAGATGCACTTGGATTTTCGTGCTGGCCATTATGTTGCTGTTCTAAAAGGGCAATTGGTCCTGTGTCCTCTTTCCAGATTCACATGGATAGCCCAGAAAAGAGAGCATGTTGAACACACTAAACACCTGCATTTTGGCATCCAAATTCCACCAGTAATGACCATATAGACAGGACCTACTAAGATTAAAAAAAAAACCAACCAAAACATTTACACTATTTGAGTATATCAAATATTTTTACCTCACCAAAGGGAGTATAGAACTGCACAATGTTGGCATCTTGAGAAGTTCCTTTCAGGGAGCCTGCCACCGCCAATACACTTCCACAGGGGTTCCACTGAATACAGACAACGTTCATGCCAGTGTCAATCAAAACAGGATCTAGTTTTTAAGGAATAAACATTAAGAATATCAACATAAGTAGACATTTTGGGTCAAGAGGAGCTCAAGTAACTCGCACCCCACATTTTGTACCTACTGTAGTCATTCTCATTCCTCATTATCTGGCATCTTCCATTGTCATAACAGACAGCAAGGCAAGGACAATCGGGTTCGATGTAGCCTTCGGTGCCGTGATACCAATGTATCCCAGCAATACTGAATGCCCCAGTTAAGTTCACCAAACAACTCAGCTTCATTTTCACCTAGGTAAGAATGATTAATTAAAGTCATATACACTTTGCAAAAAAACAGATGTCTAAGCAAAATTGTTTTCCTGTCCAGAGAAAAATTTTCAAGTTCTCAGAATTTCACAGGTTTAAAAAATAGAAAAAAATTTTAAAACTTCCTTAGATAATCAAAGCCAGATCAGACATATGAAAACACATATTTTTAACTACAAAGAAGTACCTTAATGTTGGCATCTTCATTCTTTGTAAAAATAACTTAAAAACAAAGAAAACCAACAACTTAAAAAAACCACACACACACACACACACATGTAAACACATGGAACCCTGCTGGAGCTTTGAAAAAAATAAAAATTATTTCAAACCATTCCTGGCCACATTGTTTTGTTGGTTTTTTTTTTTAAAGAAACCATTTGTAAGCTTTTTCTTAATAAGTCTGCTGTATAACATATAAAAGTGGAAAAAAATAAGTGTCCAAATTAGAACACCAATTAAGGTAAATTAACTTTTGCAATAATTAGTCCTGAATGCCTGGTAACACCTGTAAGAGCTTTCTCTGAAAGGTAACAGTATTCCTGGGTCAATTCAAAGAGGGATACCAGGTAAGCTGTGGGAGAGAGGAGAGGAAAGAAGAGAGAGAGCAAAACCATACATATTGTTGATATGGTGGGGGAAGTGACAACAAATTATTTAAAGAATTTCAGTAATTTGTAGCAGTTGGAAACACCATGACTCACACAGTGGGAAGAAAGAAAGATACAGTGGGAGGTTAAAGAAAAGGAAATAGGAAGAGTAACAAATACTTTTTTAGGGAGGCAATGGAAAGGAGAAAATTTGCCATATTGAGCATCTGAAAGTTAAGAAACTGGTCCCAAATACCTTGTTTTTAAATTCAGTGTTTTATTTCTATTTAGGATTTTGTCACAGTCATATTCCAATAGTCCCAGTAAGTAGACAAAAATAAATAAATAAATAAACCTAGGTTGTAGGAATGCAACAATATACTATAGTTATCTCCTTTCATTCTCCCACTCACTACCAGGTTTTCTCTAAAGCACGCAACATTCCTTATGTAATAATGAATAATAGGAGCAATAGGAAAATAAAATACTGCTTATTTCTAAAAGCAAGCTAGTGCTTTCAGAAGCAGAAGCTGTAAGAAGTTAATATTCTTTAAGCCAGTATTAGTTCCTCCAAATAATGAAAGTAAAAACAAATAATAGCTAAAAAATACTAAATCTGACCGATCATCACAAACAGCCTCAAAAATAAAAGATTTTCAGATGTCCTGAAGAGCTTCATTTAATCTCTTTAGTATGACCATTCCCACTTTCACATTTTCAGTAACTATTGCAAGGCAAAAAGGCATTAGTTGATGTGACATTCATTTAGCTATCAAAAAAAGAAATAATTATAATTAAAAGCTGTAGAACTCCCAAATAAAAGCTCTGTACACAAGACATTGTCCAGTTCTCAGTACTGAAGTCGACCAACTAAACAAACAAACATGAAATAAATTAAGAGGAAGTAAGCTTTGATGCCTGCTGAAGCTAATACCTTAATTATACCAGTATGAACTTACAATAAAATTTCCCTGATTGTCATAAATGTGAACTTCTCCATTTGCCATTCCAAAGAGTAAAACTTTGCTATCAGAGGACCAGGCCACATGGCACAGGTGGGAACCTTTCAAGTCTTTTCCCCAAATGCGATTGCCTGTAACAGAATATTGTTTGTATTTAATAAATACACCATAAAATTAAAAACAGGATGCAAGTTACCAATGTGAACACTAAAACAGCTAAAGAAATTCAAAGCAACAATTAGTAAGTAACTATTAATTGTATTTACCTAGAGAAACAGGACCACTGTGTATATAACACTGCAAACAAAAGTTGTGTAATAGCACAACAATTAGTAGAGCTTAAATTTTACCATCCACTGATCCAACAATCACAGCTCCATCTTCATATACAATACAAATCTTTTGTCCATCAGCATTCCAGCTCATACTTCGAACAACTGATTTATTTCTGTTGTTAATCATCTCTTCATACCAAGCACCTATTAGTAGTGAATGAAAAACTGAGTTACACTTGTGATTTGATAATCCTCTAGAGGAATCAAGGTACACACTAATCACTGAAATCAGAGTTAAGTTACTCTTTATTAAAAGGTGTGCAAATGGGATGGTAATGACATTTCTTAGCCATACGAATTCCCAAAGTTGTTGTAAAAATACACAAGTTAAACATCATACAGTTTATAAAAGTTCCCAAGCAATCACATTAGGTGTTCAATGAAATGAAGAAACCCAAGAAGGGTGTTTGTAAGTAAACATGATGCAGTGAGTCACATCTGACTCTGCAATGCAATATACAACAAAAAGCTAACAGAAGTAATAAGTTTTGGAAGAGAATTGTTCTTCGGAAAGAAAGTTCCGCCCTTTCAGTAAAAGTCTAGCAAGACAGTGTCCCCCAGAAGACACAGACATAATTATTGTGAAACCCAGTGTTCAGATGTGAGCAGCTCATTTCTCAAATGAATACTGACAAATGAGGAATCAGAAAGGGGAGCCAAAGACCAAGAGAAAGAGCTCTGTGCTTAAGTAACTTCAGAACTGACAAGAATACACTAGGAAACATTATCAGAGGGAATAACCATCTGTGCTAGGAATAGGTAGTAAGTAATATACTGAATATCTCCCTAAACTATAAGATTATTTATGTGACAGTGGCCATCATATATCAGGGAGGAAGACTAAATGAGTTATATTCATTAATCTTGAAATGAGAAGCAAAGCTGAGATTTTATTTGTGTCCATTTTTCATTAAACTAAAATCCCCAAGAGAAAAAGAAAATCCTTTATTTTCTTTTTTCCCCACACATGTTGGGAAGTGGTTAATTTGACTGTGAGTTTTGCTAGCTTTTAAATGAACTGAGGTGCACCAAAGTAGTACATGTAAGTGTGAAAAGGTCAAGAGCAATTAAAGATTATTACTGCAATATACTGGTTAGTCATATTCATTTACTGCTTAATTAAACATTTCTAAAGAATGTTTTTATGAAAGTATTTAATTGATGCTCTAAGCAGGGTTGATAAGTTCTTGCAGTTCTACCAATATGTCTGCACTTCATGCACAATATATTATTTTCTTCCAAGGGAATAAAGTAACAGAGATAAGAAATGTAGAGCAGTTTATCAAGCATATGGCTAAGAACTGGTACATTCTCTCAGGGCAGCTCTGCAGGACAAATTCCTTTTCACATGTGACTACACTATAAAAAATGTAGACAAGTATTACAATAAAAACCCAGGAATTGTTTTAAAACTATTTGGAGCTTTACAATCTGAAAAATAAAAACTCTGAAAAAGAATTGTAAAAATTGCTGGGAGGTTAAAAAAAAAAAAGACTTCTCATAACATGGAATATTATCCCATCTCAAGCTTATCCTGCAGAATACCTTTGTACAGCATCCACACAATGATGAGGCCATTTTGATCACTGGTAGTCAGTTTTTGATACTGTTCATTCCATGTCACAACCTGCACAAAACCTAGAAAGTGATACAAATTTTTAATTGACATTACTTAAGTAAGTTAACAAAAACCATCATATCCAACTCAGTCAACCTGAAGCTTTTTAGAGATTTACACTGCTAACTTTGACTTTCAAAATTCTGCTCAATTGGAGCATAGGAATTTGTGGGTTTTTCTTCCTCTTAGTAGTTTGATCCTCACTAGTGCTGCACTTTAAAATAAAATCTCCCCCACAATTACCAAGAGCACTCCACACACAACTCCATCAGACCCTCAAATCTCATATGGGATCCTACTCATAAATATTTGAGTTGACTTGAATCATCTTCAAACTTTATTTCATCAGTTCCATACTGGATATGAAGTTGCATCGTGCTTTTTCATGCCGTTACTGTTAGTCACTCATTTTCTATGTATCCTTTCCATTTTTCAGTATTTCAGTCATGAACTTTATCAACAGACACAATCACAGATATCCCAAATTTCAGGGGTTTTTAAGATAACAGTGATCTATTTCAGAATTGAAAACATCCATTCAAAGTATCCTCTAAATCAATTCTTCACAATTTATTTGTTCCAATCCTATTTAACCGGGCCTCTAAAATAACCTGACTCTTGGCAGGTTTCCAATGCAAATCCTCATAAAAAGTCAATTTCTCCAAATAATGTAAGGATTTTAGCATTCTTTTCATATACCATTGTCCATGGGATAAACTTTGTCTGTATACTACACTGCAGTTTAAGCATGTACACATTCTGTAATTCATCAATAAAGGGAAAATGAAGATATATTTAATACAGAGGTAAGGTTTACTGAAACTAATTTTGATTTCTTCAGAAGAAAAGTTAAAGTTACCATAACATATAGGCAAATCTCACAGACACTACAAAAACAAACCCAATGGACTTATCCACATATGAATCACTAGAAAAAATGCTTAAGGCTTTTAGTGTCATTTCCGATTCTACCCTATCATACAAAATTTATAACTTTATATATACAGTGTGACAGAAAATTGTTCTTTTCTTCTTTTTTTTTTTTTTAACTCATCAATTCCAGCATCAACTGCCCATCAGTTTCTCTTTTCTGCCATAAAGCATTCTTTATCTGTCATCTACCAAGGCAGTGTGTGAGCAAATGTACAGCAGCAAAGATATCGCGATCTTTTATGTAAATACTTAAAAACGTATTCCTGTCCCACGCAACTAAGTAGCACTTTCTGATTAGCCTTGCTGAAGTCAGAGACAACAACTATACCAGTAGCACTGCACAATTTAAAAAAACACAAAAGCAACAACAACAAAAGTCCATTGTAATATAACACATACAACAGCATCACCCACTTAAATAGAAATCAATATTTTCTTCTCAAGATGATGAACGGGGATCAAATAATTTGGAAAAAGCAAAACTGAGGTAATACAAAATACAAGTCAGGCCGTCATGTCAAAGTTCAGACTTAAACTTGCAAAATCCATAAGCAATAGGAAATCATACCAGGCAGAGCAGTGATTTTTCTGGGCAGGATGCACTCTGCTCCACACATACAAAATCAGCCAGGAGAACCGAGTGAAGGCTGCATCAGTTTGATTCTCAACCAGTGATTCACTTACAGATCATGAAATATTGACTGAGAGTCTTTCATTAGATAACTTGGAAAAAATTGACAGCCAAGTTGTTATATACCCTACTGAATACTGCTCACCTTTATTTCAGGCTTACAGTAAAAAGTTATACCAAAATTACTCTATCATCTTCTATCTTTTATCTTTTTATTCTAATCAAAGGTAGATTAAATGCCCAAATACACTTACCACTGTGACCTTCAAGAGTTTGATTCACAGAAACATTGCTAGGAGCTGCCAGTCCCTTTATTTTTGCTTCATCTAGAAATAACAAAAAGCATATAAAAATAAACCTAACAAAGCATACATATTACTGTGTCTCTATGAAAACTGCATCTCTAATCACTATTTAATCAATAAATCACCTAAAAGTATGTAAATAGTAACTGCAGGATGAAATTTCCTGCCCATCAGCTAAATGAGTTCACTATTTACATCTGCCATCCAAACTGATATATGCTTTATGGTCTAGCAGGTTTCAGGGAAATAAATAAATAAATAAATAAATAAATAAATAAATAAATAAATAAAATCCCCCACAACAACAGCTGTGGCTATCACATTTCATTACATTCAAAAAAAGGTTTCAAAAACTTTGAAAGAAGATTTTACTTTTTTTAGAACATATTTATTTAAATGCAAATACACAGCTTTCTCCCTGAAATTACTAAGATGGCAGACAGAGAGCATTCAAACAAAAATCAAGAAATCATGAAAAAAGTTCCAAAATAAAGGGAAAGCCTGCACAAAAAGAACAAGAATGAAATATATGCCCTAAAAAAGGAAGCAGAAGCACTGAAGAAAACAGATATAACAGGCAAATTACACATGCATCATGTAAGGCCAGCTGGAGAAAAACTGTGTTCAAATTAATGAAAGAATATGATGTTAGTGCAAATATGTAAGTAGCCAGGTACAGATTTAAAACACATGCCAGATCAAAAAGTAACCTCTGCAAGAAGTTATGCTTTCTAAAGTGTGATGGGTGTTGTTCTTTAAAAAAAAATTTAAAAAAAAAATTAAAACCCCTAATTTACCTGTTTGTGTTTCTAATTTTAGAACTTTCAGCAATCCATCCTCTCCACCACACGCTATGAAACCTTGGTTCTTATTCCAGGAAATACATTTTAGGCGAACATTACCGGGAATTGCAATCTGAAAAAGAAGTCCTTTGTATCTCTACACAGTTGCACGAGTCACGTTTTATTTCACATACTCTACTTGACCACCTCAAATACACCTACGATAGCACGTGAGACAAATTTATTTCTATCAACAGAGCAGCACACGCAAAAAGAGACCGAAGAGCTGTGCCACACTCGAGCAGTCGAACAATATATAACAGCAAATAACAATATCAGGACACCTTCAAGGGTGTGCTGACACAACGGGAGAGGGGGGTCACACAGAGCACAGGGCTTTGGTCTCCAGCCGTGTCCAAAGCCTCCCGGGGGAGCAGATGGAACACTGGAGACCAAACCCCACGCCCCAGTCCCAGGCCGAGGGAGCCGGGGGGACAGAGCAGGGCAGCGCTCTGGGAAGCGCCGCACCGGGACCAGACGGCCCGAAGCGGGAGAGACCCCGCGGGTCCCTCAGTGCTCCGCGCTCCCGTTCCGGGGAGCTCCCGGGTGAGGCGGGGAGCGGGAATCTCCCTCTCCCCCAGAGCCGTCCGCGCCCCGCGTAACCCCCGTACCCCAGAAGCACCTTCTTGCACAGGTAGATGAACATCCCGGCGGAGCAAAGGGAGCGGGCCCGGGCCGCCCCTCACGGCAGCGAAGCCGCCGCGTCTCCCTGGCAACGGGCGCGGAAATGGCGCCGCTTCCGGAGGGGAGCGGACGGGCGCCATTGCCGGGCTGTGCCCGCCCCGGCGCCGCGAACGGGACCCTGCGGGGCGGGGCCGAGAGGGACCGGGGGAGCCGTGAGGGGCTGGGGCGGCCGAGCTGTGGGGTTGAGCTGGGGGTCACTGCCCGGTACAGGTGTTGACGGGAGTACTCGGCTTGGTTATGCGTCAATAAAGGTCACTCTGCTTCTACATGAAGGAAAATCGCCGAGCTTGTGAACTCCCAAGTTCTGTGCACACGGTGTTTGTGGTGTAACTTTTATCAACGCAGAATCACAAATGGTTGGAAAGGACCTTAAAGTCCCAATCCCCATGCCGTGGGCAGGGACACCTTCCACTGGACCAGGTTGGTCAGAGCCCCATCCAACCTGGCCTTGAGCACTTCAGGGATGGGGCAGCCACAGCTTCTCTGGGCAACCTGTGCCAGTGCCTCACCACCCTCCCAGTAAAGAATTTCTTCCTCATATCTAAATGTATCTACAAGAGTCTGTATCTAAAGACTCAAGAGACTCTGTCTCTCGAGTGTGTAATTACTGGCTTGCGGCACACACAGTAATCCAATTTTTCTGGACAGTAGTATGTCCTATTTAAAAAACATTTGGCTTTATCACCTTAGAATTTTACCTGGTACTCACAAAATGAGACGGATAATTGCTCAGTGTAAATACTATTATTTGTAACATAAAATGGAGTTATGAATACTAGTGCATGAAACAAAGCTGCCCAGCTGACAGCTTGCAAGACACATCTGGCCTCCAGGACAATTTTCCACTATGGTATAAAGTTTTACATCTCATCTGACAACTGGCCTTAGTGTAAATGGGACTGATGTCATCCACTTTAAATTGCCAAAAAGTTGTAAAGTCTTGCATTAGATTTACAACTTGTTTATTCTTACCAATTACAGAGGCCAAGGCATACTTCTGGCCCTATAAATCCCTGTATAATACCCGTGTCTAAGCAGAGGACATGAAAGCAAGCAAAGTGCTGGATATAAACCTCCACGACTTACAGAAAAAAATATGCATACATAGCACTTTGAGGAAGCAGCTGTAGCATAGCCAGGTTGTCCCACTCTAACTTTAATTGAACTACAGCAAATTAATACCAGTGGGGACACATCACAAAATATCAACCACAGTCCAACCCAGCATCCTTGGACAGTTTACAGTTTGGTTTTTAGCCCTTGCTGAAACTGTTTACTTGTGCTATTTAGTGTTATATTCCAATTTAACATTACTGTATAGACATACCTGAAGTCTCACTCCCATGTGCAGTGAACATAACTGGACTTGTTTGCATCTGTTATGTGCAGGGTATAAAATATGCACAGAAGTTGTTAATATATTCTTGGCAAATCAGCTACCAGACATAATATTTTATGTAATTACATTGCAAGGCTCTAAAAAATATGTTGAATTTTTCCATTACAAAAACTTAATCATAGTTTTGACTCTAAATTTAAATATAGATTCTAAAGAGTTTGGATTTTTATAAATGCCAGTATACAAAACTAGTAGATTCTATTCACAATTAATTTTTTTAATTGTTAGCTTGTGTGTTTTCTTCTACAAGCACAATAGACACAAGTAATTTCAGTAAAGCCCTTGGTATGACAAGAATGATTGACTAATAACCTAAGTAAATCTTGCAGTATAAAAACCTTATATTGGAGGATATCTGTTACTATTCTGAATGTTAAACAACATTTTTAATGCTTGAAAATACTGTTAAACCTCTTACCTATATTAATAAGTACTTGTAGGTTTTAAAATCAAATGCTTCTTTTTCCAACTATGTGACTTGAGGATAGTATCCTGTTTCATTCTCCTTTATCTTTGAGGCTTTGTTTCTTTGGTTTTTTTAAACCCTTTACTTCATAACACACATCCTTTAAGCTGTATACAAAAACACTTCCAACATCAATGTGCATATCATACTGTATTTTATTAAAATAAGTTACAAGATCTCAATTTACTTTCCCATTTAACAGACAGAAGACATAGGCACAGGTTTTTCTCTCTGTCTTGCCATTACACAGTTTTATATAATGTGATATATTGTATGCATTCATTTTTTCTGTATTTACTTTGAAGTAAGAGAAGAAAAAATGCAGTTCCTGCAGAAAAGCAGTACCTGCTGCACTACTTGCAGTACAAACTAAGGCACAGCAGGTGTAGCGTTATGGCTATAAAGTGACTGTACATGAAGACCCTCAGGGTCACTGTATTTTCAAGACTATTTTCTTCATGAAGTCTTCTTGGCACTTGTCAATAGTACCAAACCAAATCCTGTTTTGTAAGCTGTGCAACAAAGTAAAGCCAAAAACTACAAAAAGGTTTGATTCTGAAAGATTATTTTAAAATCAAGCAGAAGGATAACTCAGACAACCTGCTGTCTGTCTTGGTACGCCTGCAGCTTCTCAGACACTTCATCTAGTGGCCAGTTGTTAAGGGCAATAAAATAGATGGCTATAGGGTTTGTTTTATTTTTAATCTTTCTCATTGCTTCATTTTCAACACACATTTCAACACACAATCTGTTTTCTAGATGAGGTCAATACATGCTTGAACCACAGATTTCAAAACATTTTAGAGACCTGTCAAAGTCTGGCATCTTCCCAAATGATCTCAACAACCCTCACTTCTTAGAAGGAATTGGATCAAGTGACATTCAGGGCTGAGAAGCAGCAGATGATTGTCTGTGCTGTGTTTTCCAGGTTGCCTTGAAAGGATGCTAGGGATACAAATGGCCTACCAAAGAAGAGCTCTGAAAGGAAGCATCAGTTCTTTTTAATCAGGTAAAATCCAAACTTGAAACCACCGCATTTTTTTGCTTAGCATTACCTCTTGAGGCAGGAAAATTGATTTCTGAAGGACATGCTATTACTAAGATGACATTACAGGTTTAATTATCTTACTGTTCACTTTTAACTACTTAGATTCCCAGAATTATATATTATAATCCAAAAAAATCAGTCTTCCCTTCGATTTTCCCAGGCAGATAAACTGAACTCCAAACACAGTGCAAGAAGAGAGATTTGCAGTTAGATCTCATAAAAATAACTTTGAATTTATTCAAGCTCTGGGAAAATCTTTTGTCCTTGGCAGAAGTTTTCATTTAACTTTCAGAAACTTTGGCAAACTGAAAAATTCTTTTATTTGTCTAAATTATGAGTTCATGTCTAAAACTTATTAGTTTGCTCTCCTTCTCTGATTAATCCTAAATGGCCCAATCTTCTTTGAAGCCCCAGGGATCAGGATGACTATCACTGACATAACACTCCTGTAAATCAATCCCTCTTCGAACAAGAGCACCTTGTACAGAAAAAAACATGCAGTCTCAAAAATTTCCAGCAAGGAAAATCTGCCACAATCTGTGGTGAATTGTAACTGACCAACCCCTCTCACTTTAAAAATTATGGTTTGTGATGGACCACAGCTTGTCCAACTTTAAATTCCTGTTATTAGTTACTGCCATGCCAACTGAGGGCATTTATTCCAGCATTCATGTTTGCTGTTGTACCACAGAGTTCACCGCTTTCTTTTTGTTTGTTGTTTGGTTTTTTTCTCCCACACGTTTGTGGAATGTTGAATCTGGGAGCTGACCACATTTCTTGGCACCCTGCATTGCAGCTCTCCCATTTTCCTGTATCCCAGGAGCTGGTTATTAATAGGCTCACACATTTTCACAGAAAAGAAGGTGCATGAAAATCACTTGGGACAGTGCCTGCCTGTGGAGGTGGGATGCAAAGGAATAGCACACTAAAGAGGACTCTTGTCACACTGCCTGTGAAGTTGTCTCTAAAGTTTTGGGACATAATAGCAGTGCCCAAAACTGAGCATTTGCTGTAACAGTAAAAGTCATCTGGAAGAATTATAAATAGATCAGTGCTTGATGTTCAACATGGGATATGCAATCTAGGGGATGCATTTGTTATATCTGTATCATGATACTAAGTATCTTCAGTGAAACGTGAAAACATAGTGGTGTTTGCAACAACCAAGATTTTTTTTCGTAACTTTTCTAAAACCACCTGGAAAATACTTTCTCTTTTGAGGGATATTTCTTCCCTGGTTTATACCAAAACAGCTACCTCTAAAACACCAGTAAAGTACTGAATGCAGGAGCTGAAGCAAGAGAAAGGATATATTTTGTGGACAGAGCTTCAAGGCGTGAGGTGACTGAGTCCTGGAGAGCAGCTATGGCCTCACACTTACAGGACTCTTCAGTTGTTACGAGACTGCTCCTTATGGCTCCTAAGAGAGAAAACAGCATTTAGAGTATTTATTACAATTACTGAACATTTAGATCCCAAGAAAACGCTTGATTCTGCAAAAGGAGTTGAACCCATGCTGTGAGACTACATAAAGGACTGCAGCCCAGGGCAGTTGGAGAGGAGGGACAGCAGTGAACAGGGGCTGGTGTGTAGCCAGAGACCTGAGTGCCATAGTCCAGGACAGTCAAGAGAGATCTTGACTCTAATGAAGAAGTAGGCAGAGCAGGGACTTCCTTTCCTGCCTAACTGGATCCTCTGCACTTTTTAAATTAGACCATTATTGAGCAAAATATAAAAAGGAGTATGGGTGCAGGGACCAACTAACCTACCCCATCAGCTCTGATTGCTAGACTAGGGTGAATCTTCCCTTCACCTGTTATCTCTCCTCTCATCCAGAATATCCCCACGCGAAAAAATAGGGCACCCTGGGAAGCAGAATGAAAGTGTTCAGGTGATGCAGACTGAGAAGAACCTGCAGTCCAGGTCTCCATCTTCGAAGCAGTGCTTTGACCATCAGACTGTACACACAGGAAGGCCACTGGCATCACTGTAAACAGAATCTATTCACTTGGATGTATTTAAGGCCATGACTAAGTTGTGCTTCTCTTCAGAGGAATGATCCTATGATGAAATGGTTTCGGCTGGAAGGGACTTTTAAAGGTCATCTAGTCCAACCCACCTGCCATGGGCAGGGACACCTTTCACTAGACTGAAGCACTAGATGCT